GAAGGGGCAGAATAAAAGAGGGAAGGGGCAGAATAAAAGAGGGAAGGGGCAGAGAATGAAGGGGCAGAATAAAAGAGGGAACGGGCAGAGAATGAAGGGGAAGAATAAAAGAAAGAAGGGGCATTGAATGAAGGAGCAGAATAAAAGAGGGAAGGGGTCAGAGAATGAAAGGGCAGAATAAAAGAGAGAAGGGGCAGAGAATGAAGGGGCAGAATAAAAGAGAGAAGGGGCAGAGAATGAAGGGGCAGAATAAAAGAGGGAAGAGAATGAATGGGCAGAATAAAAGAGGGAAGGGGCAGAGAATGAATGTGCAGAATAAAAGAGAGAAAGGGGAGAGAATGAAGGGGCAGAATAAAAGAGGGAAGGGGCAGAGAATGAAGGGGCAGAATAAAAGAAAGAAGGGGCATTGAATGAAGGGGCAGAATAAAAGAGGGAAGGGCAGAGAATGAAGGGACAGAATAAAAGAGGGAAGGGGCAGAGAATGAAGGGGCAGAATAAAAGAGGGAAGGGGTCAGAGAATGAAAGGGCAGAATAAAAGAGAGAAGGGGCAGAGAATGAATGGGCAGAATAAAAGAGAGAAGGGGCAGAGAATGAATGGGCAGAATAAAAGAGGGAATGGGCAGAGAATGAATGGGCAGAATAAAAGAGGGAAGGGATCAGAGAATGAAAGGGCAGAATAAAAGAGAGAAGGGGCAGAGAATGAATGGGCAGAATAAAAGAGAGAAGGGGCAGAGAATGAATGGGCAGAATAAAAAGAGGGAAGGGGCAGAGAATGAAGGGGCAGAATAAAAGGGAAGGGGCAGATAATGAAGGGGCAGAATAAAAAGAGGGAAGGGCAGATAATGAAGGGGCAGAATAAAAAAGAGAATGAAGGGGCAGAATAAAAAAGAAGGGAAGGGCAGAATAAAAGAGGAAGGGGCAGAATAAAAAGAGGAAGGGGCAGAGAATGAAGGGGCAGAATAAAAGAGGGAAGGGGCAGATAATGAAGGGGCAGAATAAAAGAGGGAAGGGGCAGATAATGAAGGGGCAGAATAAAAGAGGGAAGGGGCAGAATAAAAGAGGGAAGGGGCAGAAGGAATGGACAGAATAAAAAGATGAAATGAAAAGTATGCCGTTTGCAATAAATTTTGCATAAAATATTTAATTTGCATTACATTTTAATGGTTCAAAGAATGTCAGGCAAAATGGTCGGCCCTCACAAACATTTACTTCATCCAATCTGGCCCTCTTTGAAAAAAGTTTGGACACCCCTTCTTTAAATAATCTTAAATCTCTGTTATAATTTACTTGGTTTTAGGATGCCTTTGAAAATGCCTGCAAACAATGTGTTCAGATGGCAGTTTGTAAACAGGCATTGCTGTAGCCGGCTCACTTGGGTCCTCAGGCGGACATATTTAAAGCGCTCAGCCACACACGTGGCTCTCTTTGTCTCGGGAAGTGGAAGGCAATGGGTCAGTGTTGGAAGGTGTGCACGGAGCCCGACATGCTGATGGCTGGCGTGCCCGCTGACTGGCCTCACAATGCAGTGACAGGCTGAGGGGGACAGCCAGTAATGGGTTAAACCAAGCACACATTTGGACATAGCCTGGCTCCCAACGTCTGTGCCATGAGCTGCTGGGTGGCTTCCAGCCCCTGGTCACGCAGGTATGTATCCAGTGTCTTAAGGGTTCCATTTAGAATGTTCTAATTTAGAAGCTATTAGAAATTAAATGTTAGAATAACTTTACAACAATCTGTGGTTGCAATCACTTTTGGGGGGTTTCTTACCTCTCCGTTATCTGTATCACTAGTTTGAATCCCTTAACTGCCAGTTCAGCATCCTGTAGTATACTGTACTGCTAAAATGATTTAAGTAATGTAACGTGTAACTTTCTTATTTTTATTTTTTGGGGGGTGGGGTGTAATGTGTAGATACCATTTTTCTCATTAAAGTAGGAAGAGCTTTGTGGAAACAATGTAGTTACATGTTTAAATTATTTAACTAGTTTTAGATATCATTCAACCCTTATACGATGCCTTGGCTATGTAGGCGACTTTTATTTAGTTTTCAGTTATATAGTGCCTTTATGGTGTAGGTCCTTCAGTTTGAAGTGTTAATCAAAGGAAAATGCCCATGTTACCGGTACTTAAGGTAAACTTACCTGCTTACTGTAACTGCATAACATTAAGTGTTATAAGCTGAAGAGCCCAAACCCCTATCTAGAAATGCTTGAGATTCTGCTTTTCGTTTGAAGTAACATGTGCACAAGTGCTAATCACATGCACAATGTTGGGTACCTGTCTAATTACTAGTGTTGTCCATTTGCTTGACCAAAAACTGCCACCCATCAGAACAGCTCTTGCTAAAGGGCATGGCTTGCATTATTTGAAGCCTGATTGTTGCAGGCTAACATGGGTAAACAAACTTACAGCAGGATTGCCAAGAGTCTTTCTAAAGTCTTTAATCTTTCAACCAACTAGCAACTGACCCTCTTTAACTTTTCTGTAATTGTGCCAAAAGTTCAGCCTCTTGAATACCTGTAACAAGTGCTTTTTAAACTTTTTTTAGGTTCTTTTTGGAATATACAAACTTGCTGTGGACACGCTCAATCCGATATTGAGTCACAAACTGCGACATGTAAGTTTGTTTTTTGCATTCTATATATGGTCTTTAAACATAGCATGATATGGTGCACATCCTGAACCAATGATGCTAGCACTGGGCTCTGAATTAGAATGAGCGATATCTGTGCCCCTCTGTACTGACATGCAGAGGGCCTGAAGGACAGGAAATCTAGCACTTAAATGTCGATTACTAATTTAACAAGGAATTGTCTCATGGACTTTGTCTTTACATGAGCAGCTTTTTGAAGACCATCTTCATAATTGTGATTTTTTGTCTCAACAGGCCTTGTCAACATCAAAGGAGACCTTGACGTCAATTTGAAAGTGGACAGGTACTATGACTGCAGATTATAAAAATTAACATTGCGTTGTCCCTATGATGTCAGCACTGGGCTCTGAAACTGCTGAGCGATAACTGTGCCCCACTGTCTTGACATGCAGTGGGACTGAGGGACCATAATCTAGTGTGGCAAGCAGTCTTTAATTTAAAGTGAACTGTTCATATACTAAGCCAGCTTTTAACCCCTTAAGGACAACTTCTGGAATAAAAAGGAATCATGGTATATCTCACTAATTTAAGCATCAGGGTTGTATTAAAGGAACTTCATGGAGTGACAGCATAAAATATCACTAGTCCTTACAGAAACACTATAGATAAGAGGGCTTGAAGGGTGAGACTTATTCTTCCAATGCTTTCCCTTGGGAACAGGGACCATGTGGAAATCTGAAATCTTTACATACATCAGACGAACCTCTAGAGGCTTTTAATTAGGGGTAGATAACCTTTGGTTACCAGATGTGAACTACATAGCCCCTGATACTTTGCTAGCATTATGGGAGATGTAGTAAACATCTGGAGTTCCCGGAGATGCCTACCCCTGCTTTAAGGGGGTTAACATTGTGACTGCTTGTGAAACGGCTGTATACATGTTATGTGGATATTTTGCTCAAGCTTTGTGCTGTCAACCTTCTTATTCTGACAAATATTTTTATTTCAGGAAATACTGGACTGATGGACTCTGGAATAAAGCAACTTTATTTTGTTACAAACATGGTTTAAAGCTTAGTAACTGTAAGGTTGTTTGAAACCTTCCTTGCCTTGATAAAGAGATTACTCTTAATACTCAACTAAGATTCTACTTTAGATGTGAAGTAACTAGAATTCAGCATTGAACTAATGCAGCACATTTGGCACTCTAACCACTAATGTGGTGATGCTTGGCGTGCAACAGATTTTAAAATGCCTTACATTTCAAAACTTCCTGTTTAATAAATTGTGTTAAACCAGGCAACTTGTCTATTGTATGTATTTCAAAGTTTAGGGGGTCAAGATGTTACAGAATAACTGTGGACGTGTGTTTACAACATCATATCTAGTCACGTGGATTTAAAAAGTGAGACTGAACGTGCAATTACTCAAAATCTTGGTGTGCAAAAAGCAGGTGAATCTATTCAGCATGTTTTTGCTGCTCATCTGTTAAAATCTAAAATCACATTGCAGATCTATAATTTACAAATGTGACTGGCATTGTAACTTAATGATGGTGACACTGGTTCTTTGAGTGCCCTTTTAAGTCAGTCAAAAATTGGTGCCATCTCAGGACTATAATCCACTAAATTAAACTTTTAACTTCAAATGGTGACAATTATTTTTGCGTTTGATTTCTTGGACACTAGATTGTACTAAATGAGGTGTGTTCTGACAATCACCGAATTTACCTTTTCCGACTAAATTGCAAATCTGTTCCAATTAATTATCAAAATCTAGACTGTAGCGATCAGTGGGAACTTGTGTACTTGGCTAGTGGCTGAAAGTGCATAGACTTTAAACCTTATTACTCAAAATTACACTTTTAGAATGAGCTTTTTACACTGCATACATATCTGAAATCCCTAATTTTGCATATGAAAAAAACTTCATGCTGGATTAGCTCAACACATGTCAATACAGGCCTGTACTAGTTTTTAACAATTTGTGACAGGCCCTATTAAATCACATAGAAACGGTGTTTTTACTAGTGTCTTGGTGCGGCTGAATCTACTTCCATGACTATCACCAGTCTTGGTGATCTCGGCCAATCCAATGCTTTCCTATTGGAAGACTATTGCACATGTGCAGCAAAACTGCACAACTCTGCATCTTCTCAGACGCATTGATTCAATGCATCCATATGGGGGCATTCAGTGCCTTGATGCAGAGTGTGGAGAGGTGAAATACCAGTGCTGCACTAAACTAGGAAATGCCTCTAGTGGCAATCTGACTGCTCTCTTCCTAGGCAGCAATGTAAACCCTGCCTTTCCTGTGCTTGTCCTGCAGGGACAGACTACACACTCCAGAACCACTACACTAAGCTGTAGTGGTTCTGGGAACTAGTGACCCTTCAGTAAATTTGTTGAAAAGTTCAATTATATTCTGTAGTAAATAAAGTAAGCTTTAACCCCTTAAGGACAGAGCCAAATGTACACATTGTGAACAAAACCTGGCAATTGCACTACATGTCTGTCCAACCGTAATTCACCTCTTTCATAGTAAATGCACCCACCCTTATATCATTCAGGGGAAACCGGGCTTTCATTTGATATCAAATATTTAGCCATGAAACATAATTTAATATGAAAAATGAGAGAATACTTTATTTTTTTTAGTTCTAAATGACATTTTAACGGTCAATGTCATAATACTGTTTGCTTTTACTGCAATAAAACACACATTTGTATTCAGTAAAGTCTCACGTGTAAGACAGTACCCCCTATGTACAGGTTTTATGGCGTTTTGGGAAGTTACAGGGTCAAATATAGCACCTTACATTTGAAATTCGCCAGATTGGTTACGTTGCCTTTGAGACTGTATAGTAGCCCGGGAATGAAATTTACACCCATAATGGCATGGCATTGCATTTGCAATAGTAGACAACCCAAGGTATTGCAAATGGGGTGTCCAGTCTTTTTTAGTAGCCATTTGGTCACAAACACTGGCCAAAGTTAGCATTAGTATTTGTTTGTGTGAAAAATGCCAATTTTGGCCAGTGTTTGTGACGAAGTGGCTACTAAAAAAAGACTGGACATACCCTGTTTGCAATTCCTTGGGTTGTCTACTATTGCAAATGGTATGCAATTATAGGGGTAATTTTCATTCTTGGGCTACCATAGGGTCTCAAAGGCACAGTAACCAATCTGGCGAATTTTAATGTGAAAAAAATGAAACGCAAGCCTTATATTTGACGCTGTAACTTTTGAAAACACCATAAAACCTGTACAGGAGGGGTACTGTTGTACTCGGGAGACTTCGCTGAACACAAATATTTGTGTTTCAAAACAGTAAAAAGTATCACAGCAATAATATTGTCCGTGTAATGCTGTTTGTGCGTAAAAAATGCAAAAACGTCACTTTTACTGGCAATATCATAGTTGTAATACATTTTACTGTTTTGAAACACTAATAGTGTTCAGTGAAGTCTCCCGAGTAGAACAGTACCCCACATATACAGGTTTTATGGTGTCTCAGAAAGTTATAGGGTTAAATATAGTGCTAGCAAATTAAATTCCCTTTACTTTCGGCATGGGTTGTCAGGCAGGTCCTGCTAATTGTAATTAAGATACCTAATTATGTAAATATATTACATAAATATATATGTAGAATTAATATGTGTATATATACGTATGTGTATATGTATACATCTATATAATTTTTTTAAATATTTTTATTTATATATAGGTATATATATATATATATATTTCGTTCTACGTGTATTTTGATATATATATTTCACAATACAGTTAGAACGAAATAAAACACATCTATATATTTTTAATTTTTTTTTAATTTAATTTTTGTAACGTATTTAAATTTTTATTTTTTATATTATAAATTTATATAACAATAATTATATATATTCAGTATCAGTCTGTGTAATTTGATATTAATATATATATATAATTATATATAAATAGTAAAATACACCTAGACGGTGTACATGTGTGTGTGTGTGTATATATATATATATATATATATATATATGATCTAAGTATATATATATATTCTTTTTTTTTTTACACCATTTATTTATTTTATTTTTATTTTCAGCGATCGCTGGCGTGGAATCGCCGGCGACCGGGTAAGTACCGAAAAACCGAAGGGCGTACTATTACGCCCGGCGGCGTTTAGAGCCGCTTAGAATAGGACGTAATAGTATGCCCTCCGGTCTTAAGGGGTTAATGTTGCAATTTGGAATATTAAAAAAATAAACCCCTTTGTGGAGATAGTAGAAGAATAAGAAACTGTTACTCCTTTTTCAGGGACTACTTTACGAGAAATGCTTAAACATTTTATAGGGGAGGTGATATTGGAGGCAACAGTGAAATAACATACAAATATGACAAACAAATAATTGTTACCTGTAGATGAACACTGAAGATAATTTTCTACTTGCATGGGTTTATCGCATTTTGGGTATATCTTAATATGGAAAAACCAGGCTAATCATGGCAGTAAAAGTGGTCACTAGCAACTTGCTAACCTAAAGAGTAAGAGGAAATTTATGGCAAACTTACAGTAATTTTCTTTTCTTGGCTATTTCTCATGGCAGCATCACTTATGGGTAGCTCCTCCCTTAGCAGTCACAGGACAGGAATTAATTAGACTGATAGGTATAAAGAGTACCTCCTCCCCTTACACCACAGTCCAATTATAAAGCTGGGGAAAAAAATAAAATAAAGGCATGTACGGGAACCCTGATGCTGACATGAGAAATAGCCAGGAAAAGAAAATTATGGTAAGTTTGTCATACATTTTCTCGATTCCTGGCTAATCATAGCAGCATCACTTATGGGTTATACCCAAGCTCACAGAAATATAGGGTGGGAATAAAGAAACCGATAAAAAGATTATGCAGACACTCGTGCTGCAAAGAAAGTTAATATTGGTGGGATAAAGAAACCGTGGACAGAACACTTCCCAAAAGAGGTGGAAGGAAAGGCCACGTCCAGTTTGTAGTGTTTTATGAACAACATCGGGGAAGACCAGGTGGCTGCTCTGCAAATATTGTATGGAATCTATGCCCAATTAGCCCATGAAGTTGACAATGCTCTGGTAGAATGTGTTCCTATCTTTATTGGAGGAGACTGACCTTTATAGACTGACACTTTCCTGATTATTAGCAAAATCCAACATTTCAACGTAGATAAAGAAGCTGCGTCGCGTCTCCTAGCTCCTGAAGGTAGAACGAAGAGTTGGTCAGTCTTCCTGTATGACTTAGAACGAAAAAGGTATTGACACAGACAGTTCTTAACATCCAAACGTTGCCACCTAACTTATTCATTAGAAGTTGGATTGGGATAGAATGATGGAAGGACCACTTGCGAGAGATGAGACAGAGACCGCGTTAGGAAGAAACTTAGGTTTTGGTTTCAGACACACCCTATCCTGATAGATTTTGTTACGAACACTAGTATTTTAAGTACCTTGTTCGCCTATTCCTCCCGAACTACTAAGCCGTAGTGATTATAGTTGCAGTTCGGGTGTAGATGTGAATAGTTCCAGACGAATGCAGCATTCAAGTACTTTCTCCCCAGCAAGTAGACAGCTACCTAAACATGAGCCTAGACTTCATGAAGGGTACAACAGGAATGAAGCTTTATTGTGCCACACTGGCTTTTATGCAATTCTCCACGCCAGAGGAACACCCCCTGGACCTGATGGAACAGAGACATAACTTAATACAGCCAATGACAATGCAGGGACAAACAGTGACACTCCCAGTAAAAACAGTTAATTCCCTCCTCTCTGCCTGGAGATAATTGGGTCAGATAAAGTAATAACTTAATTATCTCCAGGCAGAGAGAAGACGATTTTCCAGAATACTTGGAAAACACCCCAAGACATACAGGACCCCCATAAATGTCACATCTCCTGATAGCCCTGATCTGGGTGACCAACATATCCAAAAATCACCCAGATCAGTTCAGGAGTTTTCGAATTTCATGGAAGTCACATTTGACCGACTGCACACGAGGCTCCTGCCCAAAACAGTTCCATGAGTTTAGGCTGTGCAGTCGGTCTATTTCGACAATGTCGTGGGAACAAAACTACCGAACAGCGCTCTCCTAGCTGTTCAGGAAAAGAAAGCAGGTGTTCGTATGTTTTTACCGGTGTTCGGGAAGTCGAGTGTCCGATTTTAGTTCCAGACACTCGACGACAAAGTCCCGCTGCCTCCTTTCGTGCAAACAAGATGGCCGCCATTTTCTCCCACACGTGGAGTTCGGCTATACGAACGGCGGCCACCCAGAGAGAGCGTGCTCTATCTACAGTTTCCCTTTGTAGATAATTATCCAGGGGGGTGGTCGGTGTTCGATAGTTTAACCCCTTAAGGACACGTGACATGTGTGACATGTCATGATTCCTTTTTATTCCAGAAGTTTGGTCCTTAAGGGGTTAAACTACCGAACATAAAAGTCACGAATTAAAAGGTTATTTTCTTCACAGATCTGTAGGCAGGAAGACATGGTAGAAAAGGCTTTAATCTCTAAAATTCTTCTTGTGGAAGTAATAGCCACCAAAAACAAAGTCTTGTAAGTCAGAAGGGTAGTATCCAAATTTTCAAGTGGAACGAACAGATCATCAGTCAGGAAGTTGAGAACAAGAGGAAGGTCCCAAGGAGGGGCCTTTGTCCAGACCTTCTTGGAGGAAATCCAGGATCTGAGTATTGTGAAGTCAATGTTCTCAGCCGATGCCCATTCTCTGAATATATCCAGATTCTATGGTAGCACGAGGAAGTAGAACCCTCCCTAGACCGCAAAAGGGTATTGACCACTGCTTCCGAAAGGCCTAATTGTCGAAGTCTTTCCTTTTTTTTTTTTTTTTTAAATCTTTATTTTAGTGTGCAGTAAAAGAATAACATACAAGCTCACATAGCCACGACAGCATCCGCGGGCTTATTATGGTCAAACATTTACATATATTGCCATGACATTTAAAACAGTTGCACTTTTTTAGTATAAAGAAACAGGCTGAATCATAGATTGTGTTGTAAGACTTAGAAAAATACAGGCTAGAAACCCTATGTTAATAAAAGGTAGAGTATACAAGCTTAACCCAGGGATTTCTGTGGCACGAGTATTTTACAAGGAGAGTGAAACAGATGTCTTTTCTACGAGTTTAACCCCTAGGGGGCCCCCCAGTTAGCTAAAAGCACGTTCCCAGCGGGCGTATGGCAGTCACTGGATATTTACGTGAGGCCTAGACAATTCAAATAAAAACAATAATTATAATCAGAAGAATAAGTCAGCGCGGTCATGCAACTCAGAGTCAATCAGCAGTGGGCCAGTTTAAATTTGAGAAGCGAAAAAAGAAAAAATATATGATAAAAGCGGCCCAGGCTCTGCGCTGCTTGGTGCTTGGTATTGCCAGGCTCAGTCAACCGATGCCGCTTAGCGGTCGTTTACCGGAATCCAGCTGCTCTGCTATCCTGCTATGGCGTTTCCAGACGCTGGTTAGGAAGGGAACGTTGTTACCAGTTTGTGTCCCAGGTTTGAGGCTGTGCTGATTTGTGGTCAGGGACCCGACTCTCCACGGCTTGCAAGGTTTGATGCAGGGCTGAGGTTTGTCCTTTGATATTTCCCATCTCCGTGCTGCTGGTGGCTTCGTTGGGCTCTGTTGCTTGCGTGCTGGTAGAGCTTTCGCCACGGGTGCGCGCTGCTGTGCCCTCTGGGGCTTGCGTGGGGTAGTGTAGAGGTTGGCGGTCGGCCAGGAGCTAACCAGAGGTGCCTTCTCGCTCCGGGCCTGTATCAGGGCCGGCATCTTGTAGCCACGGACTCGGGGACTATTGAAGGCCAAGTTTTCGGGGTAGGTCTAGAGTTCCTGGGGTTGGTGGTATGCCGCCGTCGGCGGGTGGAACTCTGCCTACGTGGTTGATGCATCGGGGTTAATCCCCTGTTGGCCTGGGCCCAGATGGGCTGGTGTGGAGATTCTTGGACTGAGTTTTCATGGCTTTGCCCAAAGGCAGTCTGGTCCCACTCCAAACTGTGTCGCCTTGTTGGCCCTCCGTACCTCCGATCTCTAGCAGCTTGGATCGCTCTTCCTTATGTCGGGCCGCGATCTTTGCCCAGAAGGCCTCAAACAGCCCGTCTAGGCGGGTAGTGAGGGAGTCGCTTGTGTTGGGGCTTAGTGGTGGAGGCCCAGGTTGTCCACGAGGCTGCGTGTCTGCCATTTTGACATGGCGGGCTGCATGCAAGTTCGGTGCGTGGATGGGGTCGGTGTCCGCTTTTAGGGTCCACTGGGGCTTGCCCGTCGAGGTGATTGGGACCGGGATAACCCCCACCGGTCCTAAGGGGGGGGGGTAGCCTTGTGCTGCGGGTGCTGCATGCGGTTATGGGCTGGGAGAGCGGCCGCCTCTCCATTGCCCTGCTTGGTATAGGCCCCAAGCCTCAGCTTGGTCATTCCGGCGTTATTTCTGGGCGTGTGAGGTATCCCCCTGTTCATCAATGTCTGCCGATCAAGTTGTGATGAATTGGGGATCAGGATTACTTAGTTTGCCCCCGATTTCAGCCAGTAATTGGTCTGAGGCCCAGGAGCTCTCGGTTTGTGCGTCTGCACTGCTGCACAGTCAGGCCACGCCCCCGAAGTCTTTCCTTTTTAAAACCGACACCCCCAACTTGAGGTGTTCTGGATGAGTATGGGAAGTTGGGCCCTGAGTCAGCAGATCCTTCATTATCGGAAGAGGCCAAGGCCGTTCCTGACTCATCATGGTTAAGAAAGGAAACCATGGCCTTCGAAGCCAGATCTAGAATAAGGCAATTACTTTTTTTCCTTCCATCCAAACCAGGGTATCATGGATAGTGGAGGGACCGCATACCCCAGATCGAACGACCAAAGAAGGGAGAGAGCATTCTGGCCCATCGCCCTATTGTCTGGACGGAGAGAGTAGTAATTCTCTACCTGACAATTCTGGTAAGTCGCCATCAGGATGATCTGCAATCCATGAGAAAACTGCTGGGTGACGCCTCTATTCTTCTGGAAGAATTTCTGTTTTGCTGAGGAAGTCCTCAGTAACGTTCTCTGAACCTGGAAGATAGATTGCCTTTAGACCTTGGAGACTGTACATGGCCACTTTCATCAAGGGAGCTAGTTCTTTCAAGAGCAAGATACTTCTTGTGCCTCCTTGGTTGTTTACATACAAGGCAACTGCTCGGTTGTCCGTTTTCATCAGGACCCAAGATTTTTTGATCATCGGAAGGAATTCCAATATGGCTCTTTAAATGGCCCATAGCGCCCTTAAATTTTAGAGTACACGGCTCTCTTTTCGGGTCCCCTTCCCTTGTTTCCATGTGGAATTGAAGTGGGCACCCCATCCAAAAGAGCTTGCATCTGTTGTAATAACGTTCCAAGGAGGTTCCTCTAACGGGAAGCCTTTCGCCAAATTCTTCTTGCCCCACCACCAGTTCAACCCTTTTCTTACCGGCAGGAGCAAAGTTATCCTTTGCTCCCAATCTGTTTCTGCTCTGTTGAATCGAAGAAGGAAACCATTCTGAATATGACAAAACTTCCATTGGGCCCATTTTACCAGCCCAATTGTTAATGTCAAAGAACCTAGGAGACTTATGACTTCTCTCGCTGAGGCTGTTTTGAGATATTGTAGTTTTCTGATTTTTAGGGCCCTTTCTGGGGAGAGAAACACATGGGCTGAGATCATGTCTATCACTGCTCCAAGGAATAAAATTTTTTGAGAAGGAATTAATTAGGGAGCTCCTCTCTACATTCAGAAGCCAACCGTGATCTTGAAGAATGTTCATCGTCACTAGAGTGTGATGAGCCACTATCTTTTGGGATGGACCTATGATGAGAATATCGTCCAAGTAATGGAAGATTTCGATACCTCCTACTCTTATGAAGGCTATCAAAGTGACAAGAACTTTTGAGAACGTTCTTGGTGCCAAGTGTTCTCACGTCGAGCATGGAGTTCACCCCTTTTTAGTTCAGGATTAGACGCCATTTTCCTTGGGGTTTTGGAGCCAAAACACTGGAGTAAACTCCTTTGAGCCTTTCCTCTTTCGGAACTTCTTCTATAACCCTTTGTTCCTGAAGAGTAGAGATGCAATTCCTCATGGCTCTTTGTTTGATGCCCATCAACACCCTCGACTTCCGGAAGACAGTGGATTATGGGTAAGAGAAGAACTCTATCCTGTAACCTTCTTTAATGATGGAATTGACCCAGATATCTGTGATAGAAGAAGAGGTAGAAGAACCTTAGTCTTCCTCCCACAATCCCTGAATGGGCCTGAAGACCTTCAGAAGTTCTTCCCAGAGGTTTTAGATCCTCTCCCTCTGGAAGCCTTATTGGTCGATGAATGGGAGAAGCTTTTCCAAGGTAAATTTCTAGAATACTCCCTTCCTGGTTTATACCTTCTGCTGTCCCGAAAGGACCGATCCTTGAAGCGTTTAGTCTTCCCGGAAGAGGAAAAAGTCTTTATTCTTTCTTGCGGCAAAAAAGCTTTTTTTGCCATCTGCAGCCTTTTGTATGGCGTCCTCCAGAATCTTACCGAATAATAAATCCCCCTGGAATGGAGGGATGCCTTGGAGGCATAGTTGGCTCTCCATGAATGAAGCCATACGGCCCTTCTAGAGGCCACACACAGGGCCATACTTTTAGCAATCATACAAGTGATGTCTAGAGAGGCTTCTGAGCAGAATTCTGTAGCAAGGCTGAAGTCCTTGAGACTTTTTCCAGGAGATGTTCCCTGCGAACTCTATGGTCAATGTCCTCCTCCAGATTTGTGAGCCATGCTCTTAACGCCCTTCGGAGAGTGGTTAGAGACACCGCAGGATGGAGGGCCGAGCCTAGGGCTAGATAAGATTTTATGAGATCGCCATCCATACGTTTTTCCATAGGTTCTCTAAGGTAGGGCATGGAGTCAATGGGGAGCGCAGTTTTCTTAGCCATATGAATCACGGCAGCATCTATTTTTGGTACTGAGTTCCATACTTTGCAGTCACTGGCAGAGTAAGGATATATCCTTGTAAACTTATTCTTTAAGGTGGATTTTCTTTCCAGCTTGTTCCATTCTTGAAGGATGGTGTCCCTGATTGAATAATGCACTGGAAATGTTGGCCTATTAGGCTTTAGGTCCTCAAAGAACCTGTCAGCCTCTTTCAACTCTGAATTCTCTTCTGCGAGACTAAGAGTGTCCCTGATATGGGTAATCAGCCTATTAATTGACTTAGAGTCAAGAGACCTGAAGGTATATTCAACTTCCTCCTCACCATCATCTGAGACCTCCCACATATCAGGGTCTTCTTCAGAGCTAGAAGAATGAGGTTCCGCTCTGCGTCTCTTACATGGACCACCTTTATTCGGGGTAGACTTAAATTCCTCAGCAATAGCTTGGGAAATTCAGAGTTTAAGGTCGTCCTGTTGGGAAATCCTATTGGAAGCATCTGCTATTTCCAATAAGTATTCTCTGCAGAGGTTCCTTCCCTGAGGTGCAGAGGACGAACAGTTAACACATTTATTGGTTTTATCCCCTAATTTTCTTGGGGGTGAATCCAATTGTTTGCTGGGGCTGAAACAAAGCCATATATAAACATTTATCACAGGCTCAATCTGGCACTCTTTTAAAACCCTCCAGAATATTAAAAATGATTGGCTCGCCTATGTTTTCTAGAGAGCGATGTTGCAGAGGCAGAGGGAGAATCCATACTAAAATGGGACTCAAAAGAAATGTCAAAAGACCCCAAAACACATCCCATCAAAATTCAGAAGCAAAACTGAATGTCAAGTAAAGTTTAAAAATCACAAGGAGAAAAGGCCCACCTTTTGACAATGAGACACAATTTAGGCAGCCAAGGAAAGGAAAAATTCCAACTTCAATGCACTGAACCAAAGCAGGTGAAGCAGTGCGCTCAGGATCACTATCAGCATATGCAGCATGCACACAGAGACTCAGATCACTCAGATTTAAATAGTGCCGGGGGAAATGGTAGTTGCGCGCATGCGCAGAACGCTGGAACGCAAGCTATGTGCTCCATGTGCTCATGTCATACCCGCGCGAACCCCGCATCACTTCCGGTCCAGAGGAATATGGCCAAGATGTCACTTCCGCCAGCTGGAACGCACTCCCATGTTCCAGCGATCGAAAATGGAATGATCAGTGGCAGAGAGCCCCAGCAATCAATACAGAGAGCCAAAGACAGGTAAAACAAGGACAAAAAGTAGGCAAAGAAGAGCGTCCCTACAATGGATCTCTCCAACTGGAGGACCCCACACTAGTATGGATCCCAATAAACTGCCACTGGGAGGGATTAGGCCCCAATTTTTAAGAGTAATGCCAAAAAAAGGGGGAATTTTTAAGGAGGCCCAACCCCATGAAATACCTTGTAGCTGTGTCTCCCTCAGAACACGAAATATAACTCCCACGCAGCAGTTCAGTACTGACACTGAACCTGACCCAAGAAATCCTGCTCATGCAGGCTGTTTACTGGGTCCTTCAAGTGAAGAGAGGCTGAACCTCATTTGGAACGAACCCACGACAAACACAGGAAGGTGGCCAAAAATGAAAAGTGTTTTAAGTCCTGTAGAATCAGCTAAGGACATGAAAGAAGACTGTGGTGTAAGGGGAGGAGTGACTCTTTGTACCTATTAGTCTAATTAATTAATCTAATTAATTCTTGTCCTGTTACTGCTAAGGGAGGAGCTATCCATAAGTGATGCTGCCATGATTAGCCAGGAATCTAATTTGCAGTCATAAAGGATTTCAAGGATAAACGGTAACGGGGTTGTACATAAGTTTGAGCCCGTATGTAAAAATGTATAATCTTTCCAACAGTCCTGATATGGGGCCCCTGTCCCTCTATCATGGCACACTAAAGTAATCAAAAGGGCCATGTGCCACGGGATTCCAGAACATCTGGCCATTTCCCCAGCAGCAACCTGGTGTACTGGGTTGCCATATCTCCACCCATGACCTCACAAGTTCTAAATTTTTGCATTTTAGGTTCTTTCCATTCACATAGGAGGGTTGTGTTTAGATGTCTGAGCCACCAAAGATCAAGTAATATTTTAGTCAGCCACCTCTTTAGGAATGTTGCCTATTTAAAGATTTGTCTGCATAGTCCTTGTGAAGCTTAAGCGTTCTGATGACTCCATGTTGTAGCCGTGTGCATTCTCCAGCCCCAAAACAGCACTGCTATCAGTAGTACTCCAAGGACTCCAACAGTGATTGACAAAGCCACAGTGGTGACATCTGCAAAGGAAAGTCCATATTGTAACATATCTTTTTGCCATGACTACAGAGACTACCATTTTCGGAATGTAATTTGGTCTCTTCGTTAGAAGTGTGTAAGTAAAATAACTTTAAGCACTAGAATTTTTTACGATTAAATAATGGAGGGATAATTCTGAAAGCAATTTCAAAAGAAGACAAGCATAAGACATTCACATAAGGGACGGGAGATTGTGATCATGGACCTGGAGTTGTACAAGGTGAAAGCTTAGGGAATCCCTAATGACACTAAATCCTATAAAATAAAATAAAAAAGGTCTAAAGGAGGTACAGAAGTTTAGAGAGAATTTTCTCATCAGGTTACGTTAGCAGAAAAAAACATTATCCTTACTTTACCTCTGTCTTATCACATCACTAAGATCCGCAACTATTGGAACAATACAGCAAATTGAGAGCATATGCTGCCAAGTCCTGTCCCTGAACTGATATACTTCATACTCTGATGGCTAGACCGATAACTATCACCTGCGTACCTGATCGCTGACTCTGCTCTGTTACTTGGCATTCTTTCCTCCAGTCCTGTGGAATGAATGGCGCTGTTAGCTGGGTGAAGTGTTCCAGTGGGCAGGGAGATGTGCACCCTGGTAGCCCCAATTCATACGGGTCCTTGCTGGAGTCATTCCTGTAGAACATGCTGACACTATACGTGCTTTAAGAGTGGGAATGAAACAAATATTGTTTAAAGACTCGTAAAACCAAAGGTGATGATGCTGGCTCTACAAAACAGGTGCATTGTGCCCAGTAATGTAAACAGAATGCCCAGCAAGAGAATTACTCTAAGAAAACTGCCAACCTCACTGCTTGGGAGTTCTAAATGTAGTCGTTTATCTATTATTGAACTACATTGTCCATGATTCTTTGACTTTCATTGGTTAAATTAGAATGACGAACGTTTAAATACAAATTTGTGGCATTGATCGACAGTGATTCTGATTGTGAGCCAAAAGGGGTGTGTGTTATTTAGCACTGAGATGAATGGAGAAACACTGGTATGAAAAAACAAAATAATTTAATAAAAATTAATGTCATTTTTTTTAAAATGGTAGGAAATAGGACAAATAAACATGATACTGCTACAGAGACTTAGTAGCCATCACACGCAGGACCTAAAATCCTTGTGGGCGTGCACAGGAGTGATGTGAGCAGATCTGAAATTAGAGTTGTATAGTTCAGCTGGAGTGCCTGGCCCTGAGATGTTCTTCATCTCTTCTGAGGTTTAGGATGTAGTTAGAACTTGTTCCCAGGCTATAACGTAGATGATATACAACTTATACTAGGTTCATTATGGAAGATCCCATGACTACACCACTCAATAGCTTAAAAGTGAACCTGTCGTACACAGCGCATGCTTCCTGTGCATGCGCTTTGTATGCAGTATTTGCTGGGAAAGGGGAAGGAGGCCCCTTTCAGCACTCAGACCTTTGCTCTCAGCATACCCATCTGTGCCAAGAACTGATCGACAAGTGACTAGAGACCAAATTTATATGTAGACATTTAAAAATATAAACATTTGGTAAAAAGTCTGATAGTACAATGTATATATGAAACTTTATGGCCTTTCATCTAAAGCTGTGTGTTACACAATAGGTATATTGTAAGGGGCACAAAGCTTTTTATTTTTTAATGTTGTTTAAACATCAAAAAGCATTCATACATTATTTTTGTAATATTTATATATCAGAGTGTAACATATGTAAAAAAAAATGATATAAAATATGCTAAAAGAGAGAGTAAAAGAAAGTGGGGTTAAAGTCACTTTAGAAACAATTGACATTAACCTCTGTTTTTGTAACATTTGGATGTCTTACAGTGCCCCATGCTTTCATCATATGACTTCCTGTCTTATTCCGAGAGTCTATATTAAGACCTCTGCTGTCCATTCTGCCAGTGCGTGCTCCGAGAGTGGGGAGTGTGTCGCCAGATGTGTCTCTTAGTGACAGAGCAAAGACAACCACATGATTCCGCATCATCCACTCTAAGGGATTGTGCAATAGGCATGAGGATTCCAAACATTAATTCTCAACTGTGAAGGTCCATCTGGCAGAGTAGCAAATGTTTGGGTAGGCATATGGTTTATTTGGGGGCAATGAATACAGGACACAGCTTATTGTTTGACATTTTGACACTGTCATGGGATGGTTGTTGATGCAATCACTACCAGAAGTTAAGACGCAACCAAGAGTCTGAGTGCGAGAGGAAGAATCAGTTATCTCTATCTCAGGGTAGTGTAGAAAGGTAAAATAATCATGCAAGTGAAGGGTCAAACTGCCTATCAATGACTTAAAACGTATATTAAAGGCACCCTCCAGGTTCTAAATAACCCACTAAATTCTAAAATTGATTAATCCAAAAAAACAATATCATAGACAGATGAAATCACAAAAGTTCAATCTAGTCTAGTGTTGTCTCGTTTTTTTAAATGAGAGAAACTGGATAAACTAATCCCTAAAAGGCTAAAAAGCAGCCAAATCAAATAACTTGTGTCCTAATAAAAAGTTGTCAATAAGGAACGTGTCATACTTGAAAGGATACTATAGGAATCAAAACAACTTTAGCTTAATGAAGCAGTTTGATGTATAGATCATGTCTCTGAAGTTTTACTGCTCAATTCACTGCCATTTAGGAGTTAAATAACTTTTGTTTCTGTTTATGCAGCCCCAGCCACACTCAGTGGTGTATTTTGGATTTGTGCTGCCTTAAGCACAACTAAATTTGGGCACCCCCCAAATCTTAATTTACCCCCCAATTCGTGTCAAGGCCACTTTTTTGACTGACAGACACAGGCCCTCATTGATACATGCACTGAAATACACTCAATTGCAAATGCACAGTCATTGGCACACACATACAGTCATTGGCACACACACACTGTTTAACCAACACACACTTTCACTGACAGACACACACTGACACACCCACTCACTGACAGACACGCACTCTCAGATACACATAAAATGACAGACACACTGACATACACACACAGACATACCCATCTTCACTGTTTTGACACACTCTGACAGACACACACTTTCACGCACTCACCGACACACACTGACAGCTACACATGCACTGACAGCTACACTCACTCACAGAGCGTGAGAGAGCAAGAAGAGTGGAGGACAGCGCTTCCTTGCCGCCTGGCTAGAATATTAGTAGGTTAACACCTTGGGGCAGAGGGGGTGGGAGGGTGGCCTAAGAAAGACAGACCCAGGACATGAGGCAAACAAGGCATTTGTTTGGGAGTTTGGGGTGGCGTTTTTTGGAGCCCCCTTGAAAGTGCCGCCCTAGGCAAATGCCTTGTTTGTCTTGAGGTAAATACATCCCTGGCCACACCTCCATGGGCTGTGACTGACCCAGCCTGCATGAAAAAAATGGTTTAATTTGCAATCAGTTGTTAACTAGCTTTATACGTTTTTATATCCTGCTTTGTAAATAGAACTTTAAAGGGACACTATAGGCACCCAGACCACTTCAGCTCATTGCAGTGGTCTGGGTGCACTGTCCCAAGTCCCTTAACCCTGTAAAAGTAATCATTGCAGTTTTTAATAAACTACAATAATTACCTTTGAGAATTAACTCCACCTCTAGTGACTGTCTACCAGAAAGTTACTAGAGGGACTTCTGGGTCGTTAGGCGACTCTTGGTCGCCTAACTGATGCTGGATGTCTTCACGTTCTGCATGAGAACATCCAGCATCCCCCACAACCTGTATAATGCTTTCCTACTTTCCTATGGGGGAAGTCCTAATGCAAGCGCGGCTTACTGTGAGCAGAGTTGCAGCCTGAACCAGCTAAGTGACAGAAGGGGTTTTTAACCACTTCTGCTGGCGCGGAGGAGGCGGCCGCTCCTCCGATGCCATTCTCTACTGGACACTTGACATTGGGCCCTCGTTCCCCCCCCTTTGGACCGGTGGGGGTCATCCCGGTCCCCATCGATGGGCAGCAGGGTCTCGCTCACATCCTCACAGCCTGCAAAGACCCAGGCCCAACACAAAGCGGGCCTAGCACGCACGCCGCAACACAAATGGCGACTACAGATACAGGCCACGGCGACAACATGATCAAGTGATCCCTCCGACGCATAGACAAGGCATTCCAGCGCTTCTGGCAGAAATTGGAGCAGCGTATGGCACTGCAAGCACTGAAGCATATGCGGGAGGTGAGAGAAGCCGAGATGAAAGGGCCGAACAAGCCCCGCTTGGGCAGACCCCAGCCGGGGGCACACACCACCCAGGCTCCCTGCCTACCTGGGCCGAAGGCCAAGAGGGGTAAACCCCCACCGCATCGCCCACGACGCCGGAGAACCGCCCGCCGCTGGCGGCGTCGCAATATCGGGGTCCTCCGCAGTGCCCATAAAGGGGAAGACCCGGCTACACTGCATACCTGAGTATGTGGAATACAGATGCAGACCTTCCATGAGACCTGGGGCCTGAACGGGAGCCGCCGCGGCCCACGAAACACCTACATGAGCATCACGCAGGACCACAGAGTGGATTACCTCATACAGCACACCAGTGGCATAGGGTGAGAGATCGCAGCCCAGCTACCAATGCCATGTTGACAAGTACTGAGCGAGAGCCTGAGCTACTTAACACATAACATGACTAACCTGTTATATTGTACACATGAAACCTACCATTTGAGCAATTACTAACTGACCGTTGCACCCATTACTTAAACGATTGCTTATAATACTATGTTTATGACGTATCAAACAAAAAATATATGGCTGTCCTTAGTTGGAGTGTATTATGTACCATCTTGTTTACATCAACTTGTATCATCCCATACTGCCTCCTCTCTTTATTCTGTACCCCATAATGCAAATGCCATAATAAAAGAAAGATTTACAAAAAAAAACTACAATAATTACCTTTGAGGATTAACTCCACCTCTAGTGACTGTCTACCAGAAAGTTACTAGAGGGACTTTTAGGTCGTTAGGTGACTCTTGGTCGCCTAACTGATGCTGGATGTCTTCACGTTCTGCATGAGAACATCCAGCACCCCCCATAATATTTTCCTATGGGGGAAGTCCTAATGCAAGCGCGGCTTAATGCGAGCAGAGTAGCAGCCTGAACCAGCTAAGTGACAGAAGGGGTTTTTAACCACTTCTGCACCACAAGGGGAGGATAGGGTGCCGTGACGGACTGGGGCACTATAGGGATTTTAGTGCCAGAAAACAAATTTGTTTTCCTGGCACTATAGTTTTTCTTTAATCACACACACAGGAGGCTTCTGCACAGTTTAGAAGACTATTAACAGAACAGGAAATATAAATTAAGCAGACTGTGCAATAAAGGAAATGTAAATATTAGATGACTCTTTACAGGAAGTGTTTAGGAAAGCTGTCTAAATCAAATGCAGGGGAGGTGTGACTAGGGCTGCATACACAAAGTGTTTTAACTCCTAAATGGCAGAGAGTTGAGCAGTGACACTAAAAGACCATGAGCTATACAATAAGTTGTTATGGTGGGTGCATATCGTGTCCCTTTAAGGCTCGGAAATCATGTCTTACTTGAAATGTGGAAGCAGTAAAGATCAGCCGTGCCTTAAATGTGCAAAACCTGGATCGTTTTCATAAAGATGATGAATGGATCCGCAACCGAACACCTAAAGGATCACTAAAGTCACCCAGACCACGCTATATTAATTAAATGGTCCAGGTGCAGTGATCCTGTCATTTTAACCCTGCAATGTAAACCATTGCATTTCTGTACAAACTACATGTTTACATTGCAGTGATAAATACACCTCTAGTGGGTGTCTTCTTGGCTGAGATTAGAGTCGCTTTCATCGCCAGAACCAAATGAAAACTCGGTTCTGGAATGAAATGCTGATGATAGCAACATTTGATTGGAGGAGCGTGGTGACTGGCTTGGTTCAACTCCACGACTAGTTCCAATGCATTGTTCCTCTATGAGAAGTAATGAATTAGCGGAAATCGCGGGTAATGCTAGCTTGGATGCTCAGGAAAGCAAAAATGCACCTACTCCCTACCCTGTTGAATATGTGGATTCTCTATTTGCCAGTTTGGATACTGATATCATCAAAGGAGGATGCGGTGGAGGAGTGTTGGCGAGTGAACTTTATTTACTTTATCAGTTTTTACAGAGAAAAGTGGGATGGACAGGTGCTGACAGAGCTATAAGGGAACTTATTGTGCCTATATAGCGATTGCTATTTTTGGACTATAGGTTCCCTTTTACTTACCCATCATGCTCTTTGTAAAACTCAAATATGTGGCAGGATGCATACGGTGGGTGGATTCCATTATAGACCCTCAGGGCAGCCTGCAAGGCGATGATGGTGCTGTCATGCTAAAGAGAAAAAGTTCAGAGGAAAATGCAAAAGCTGCAAGTCATTTTATATCATTAGGCACCTAAACGCTATATTTACTATTTTACAAACAGCTGATTTCTGTAAGCGCACATGTGGAAATTACAGCTTCTAAATGGCTACTGGCTTCAAAGTATCTTAATGTAGCACTTTGTAATAACTAACTGTATCTAAAGGTTTAAAACTGATGATATAATTCTAAGATGACATTCTATGCTTATAGGTTGTTAATACAAGTTTATATTTAATTTATATTTTTTGTCATTCTTAATTTTGAAGGGCAGAGGTACACAAATATTAGTAATGATATTTGATTTAAAAGCACAATAGGATAAAACAGGTTTAGAACTTTTGCAGTAAATGTCATGAGAAGCTGCACATTTTTAAAGAGTAAAACAAGGTATATAGACAGGCTAGTTAGAATAGTATACAGGATAAAATATGCCAGATGATGGGTAAGAAGGTAAATTCGCAGGGTTGCCACTTAATCAACACCATGCACATAGGGAAGGCACTAGATTACTGCTGCATGCAACAACGAGCAATTGAATGTCTCTTATTATGCTATCCTTAATAGCCTTTCAGCTCTCATCAGCCTCTGTCCAACGTGCAATTGAATGTCTTTTATTGTGCTATCCTTAATAGCCTATCATCGCTCATCAGCCTCTGTCATGGCTAGATTCTGTATAAGCAAAGTCCCTGCAGAGAGTACCATCGAGCATAGACCGCTTCACCAGCCCAAGGTCATCATACGAGCCCGCACCTACTACTCATGGTTCCTGTTCGGAGTAAACCGGCATCGGTTTTCCAGGTTTAGCCTACCTAGGTGGTCATGGATGTGAAAATCTGATCCTCATGGCTCTAGGCCTTGGTTAACGGCCGCAGGAGCCAGACTGAACCTCTGAGTGCAAGGTAACAGCACCAAATGCCATTAGTTGAAGTAGTAGGGTAGCTAGGACAGCCGTGTGCTAGTTCAGCCAAGCACAGAATTAGGTATAGATGAGCAGATGCAATCTGCAGGCCAAGCTTCGTGTTTGTGGTTGAATGGGCCTGGTTGGCGGCCATTTTGTGGTCAGATCGCAGTTGTAGTGCAGAATGAGGTACACTGCCTTCCCTTAGAAAGCGTTGGGCCTCTCCAGAGGGGACCGGGATAACCATCACCAGTCCAAAGGGGGGCAAAACAGGACTGACAAGTGGATCCACAAGCTGTGTGGCCTTTGACAGGAAGGTGAGGCGGCTGTCGTCCACCTCATCTGCACTTAAGCAGGCCGCAAACTCCGGCCTCTCAAATTTTCAATCAGTGCTTCACACCTTCAGCACACGTGTCCTGCATCTGCACAAGTCTATGCTTAGTCTATGTCTATGTAATTATAGATTTTGAGGCACCAGGTGAGTGAGTTAACTGCCTATTATCTGCTGAACTAGTTAAAGCATGCAGGAGCTAGTCTGATCTGCGACCAGCCAACATGGCGGCCCGGTCCCACCCCAGATGAAAATAATTTATATCTATTTTACATTATTGTTTTAAACTGATTGATGTGAGGAGATTTTCGGATGACAGTCCTTCTTTAAATTTACTACTCTTTCCCATTGGTTGTCTACATCTTACTCTGTATTAAGGTGTCCCTAACTGTTCTAGGAGTTTAGAAGCAGAGCTAGTCCTGTTAAAAGTTAATATCTGTATCTAACTCAGGGGTAGGCAACCTTTTAACAGCACTGTGCCGATATAGGATTGTGATGTCCTGTAATTGCTTTGTATGATTGTATTTGTGCGTATATGAGCTATTATATTGTATATGTTCAGGAGTAGTTTATGGTATTGTGTATGATACATATGAATGTGGGCTGTGTATGGTGGCTGCTTGTGGAATTGTGTGTGGATGGATATGTCACATTGTGTGTTTGGTAGTGTGTGTATGTGTGGGGGCTGTTTGGGGTATTGTATGTGAGAAGCTGCATGTGGGGTTGTGTGCATGTATATGGATTGTAAGTGGTGTTACGTTTGTACGGATTATGTGTGTTTGTTTGTGGGCTGTTCATATTATTTGTATGAGGGGAGGGTTATTCTGCATTTCTGTGTATATCTAGCAGTGTGGGTGGCTTCCCGGGGTTCCAGTGGGGACCAGGCTGGCCAGGCACAGGCTGCTCTACTACAGTGTGGATTCCCATTCACAAGTGTGATCCTCTACATGCTACAATGCATAAATTGAAGATTGTCCTTCACCACCTTTTTGTATTAGCAGATATCTGAAGTTTCACTGGGACTCCTGATAGGCCAGAGCCTGTTTGGCTGTAGCAGCCTTGAGTGCCGTGCAAAGGCACCTTGAGTGCCTTGCATGGCACTAGTGCTGTAGGTTGCCTACCCCTGATCTAACTAATATCAGTAGCTCATTATTTAAAATAAACTCACCGCTGAATACATCACCATTTTAAGTGTAGAAGATTTAAGAATCGCCTCTGAGAAATTTCGGAGAATAGCATCTACCAGGATTCCTATTTATAGAAAGTAGGGATAGAATTAATTGACACAAACAGAAATCATTACCTAATGTTTACAAATGTTTTTGGCAAACCCTGGTACATACCCATAGGTACACTATCCTGGTAGGCACCAATTTCCTAATTGTGATCTCCTAGCTGAGAAACAGCTTTCCAATCCTAGGATATATCCTGTAGCACAGACGAACCGCCATGTCATCACCTCCCAACCTTTAAGAAATCTTCTCTTAACATTTTTAACATAAATGTAAGAGGGCTGAATATCATGGAAATTAGGTCACAAACCCTCAGGTATTTCCAGAACCAGAAAGCACAAATAGTATATGTCCAAGTGATACACTTCAAAGAGGTACAGGCTCCCAAACTCATCAATCACCATTACATGCAGTATTTCCTAAGCAATAAGCAAATCAATGGGGGTTTGTCATTCAAATTCATAAGTTGTTCCCCTTCCTCCAAAATGAAACATTGGCAGATATGGTATGGTGAAGGGTTTGATCCAAAATAGATAGTATACTCTGGCAAATCTGTATCTCCCCAATTACCTACAAGATAAACATCTCAGAAAATGATATGGACTCGGACCTCTTACATGGAGGAATGCTTGGTTCTCAGGGGGATTTTAATATCCTCCTGGAGCCATCACTTGATACATCCAGAGGGGCATTGACTGTACCCATCAAGTCCTACAAACAATCCTCTCTGTCTTACTTGGCCAGAGATTGGTAGATTGCCAGTCCTCCACTCGGACACTAGAGACTACACATTCTACTCCAACCCGGACACAATATACTCCAAGATGGACTACTTCTTTCTCCCACACTACCTTCCTGACCTGACTGGACCAGTATTGACACCACTATGTGGTCTGACCATGCACCCATATTCATGACCCTGACTATCACCCTATTCTGCCCCACAGTGACAAACTGGCGAATTAATGAATGACTTAATCATGGACAATGATCTTCTTTCACAGGAAATTCCAGAGTAGTTGACACAATACTTCACTAAAAAGGACAAGCATGGGATATTCCAATTGGGGGGGGGCACATAAGTGTGTCTTCAGGGGCTTCTTGATTGCTAAAGAGGCCAAACTTAAAGGGGCCTGTGCGGCCCAATTGACCCACATCTTACAGACGATACAGAGACTCGAGTCCACGCACAAGCAGAACTTTACAATATAGATATAAGCAACTCATAACATTTACCCATAACAACTACCTTCTCACTGTTGGCAAAAGACCTGTCCTCACAGATCATTGCACTGCCTCTAGCAAATCCCAAGAGACAGCTTATAAGCTTCTCTCTTTTTGTTATCAAACTCCCCAGTTGTTATACTCCATTGACTTGGCAATAGACAACCGATGCTGGAGATGCAAGACTGCAGTAGGAACTTTGGTAAAAACGTTGGCAAGTTGGATATGTAGTTGTCCAGGGAGTGCTTAATATATCTTGATGATCAATAAGGTGATAGCGCACTAATGGTAAGTATATCGCACACTGGCAGAGGTAGGCAGGATAAAACCTATTAATAAAAACATATAAGCAACATAGCGCAGACTGTACAAAGTGGTATCCGTATAAAAAAATGTAGATGGCACTCACATATTTAAGAGTCCTTCAGGTCAGCTCTGAACTCAGTAGGTATAATAAAACCACTCAGAGTATTGCTTTGTAGTCGGTCCCAGTGGTATTTTCCTCAGATGAAGATCAGGAACCATAAATTATATAAGTAATATACTTTATTACAATAAATAAATAAAATAGCACAACTTGTTTCGACCGTAGCTGGTCTTCCTCAGGTGCATGTCCTACTGGGTTCAAAATATTCTAATTTGTACCATAGTTAATTATAAAATTCAAAACAAATGTTACAGAGGAAATAGCCATATAAGGTATTTCTAAAATATGTGAGTGTCCTGTACATTTATTATACGGATACCCCTTTGTACAGTCTGTGCTATGTCGCTTTTATGTTTTTATTAAGTGTTCTTGCATAGCAAGACCACTTAATGTTATCTACATATATATTATTATTCCTATTATAGCCAAATTTACCATCCTAACTCCTCCCACAGTTTTTACACTACATAGACAGTAATATACCGAAACGTGCGGATGGTTCCCGGTTGGTGTGTTATTACTTTGTGGAACATCTAGCCGAATGGTTCACGAAATATCGTCGTTTTTGTGGTGAAATTGGTCCCATAGGAATGAATGGCGAAATGTTCAAAACTAGAGTGGGAGCTGACAAAAGCTGAAAAATCAGGACATGATTTCTAAACTGCCACCACTCCCTCATTTTCAAGTCCACCTACACAAATCTTATATCAAAACGTTCAGCTATCCCTGCTGCCACTAAAAATGTCCACGGCTAAGCCATAGTCCTGATAATTTTCACAATATGACCATTTGTTTGCAACTCACACTGTCCATTGACATTCACTGAAACTCCACTCTAGCCACCTCAAATTTGAAGGGCAATATCTAAACTGCGACTGTGCCTTCATTTTTAATACTTCAGAGACATACTATGCATCAAAATGTAGATCTGGGTCTTGTGATTCTCACAATATAAAGCTCTTTGCTGTAGGATTTATAGTTTTTTAAAATACAACAGCTTGAAGATGGCAATCGCCAGTGAAGTGGGCAATTTGGAGCAGTTTGTTTTTAACCGCTCTTCTCTGCCCTATTTGAAATCTATTAGTTCCTGTTGGCAGTTAGTGGAATGTTCGATGGATTTAAAATGGCGGCTGCAGAAACCCTGTGTAAGAAGGCTGCAAGATGAAGATGCTGTTATATATGTATTAATAAAGTGAGTACTTTGTTATACAGGAATTATTGACTGATTTGTACAAAACATCACAGTGGCAGCAGGGATAGCTGAGCGAGGAATTTGAAAGATTTGAAAGCTCTTCTCTGCCCTATTTGAAATCTATTAGTTCCTGTTGGCAGTTGGTGGAATGTTCGAGGAATTTGAAAGATTTGAAAGCTCTTCTCTGCCCTATTTGAAATCTATTAGTTCCTGTTGGCAGTTGGTGGAATGTTCGAGGAATTTGAAAGATTTGAAAGCTCTTCTCTGCCCCTGCTGTAGAGTGAACCACACTCCAACCTTTCTACAGTTACTCCAGCCACACAACAGTTACTCAAGCTACTCCACCCCGTTACTCCGCCCACTCCAGTTGTAGACTACTGGTGAAGGCAAGAACACTTCACACAATTTCACCAGAAATTTTAGCTTTTCTAGTTAATAGGTTTTATCTCTGCCAGTGTTCAATACACTTACCATTAATGCGCTATCACCTTATTGATCATCAAGATTCTCTGTATGTATAAGTGTTTTCTGTACTGCACTGGTTGCTGGGTATTATTGTGGCGCCATTTATCTTTAAACTTTCTTGGAATAGTGCTTAATATATGTTTAAGTTATGTGTGAAATAGGCAGTAATAGTTGTGTAGGATTGTTGCTCAAGTCAGTACTCCAGAGGCCTGCCTGCAAATCCAGAAATCTGAGATCTTGTATGAAAAACTGGAGAGGACCTATTGATAAATGCTATCATACTTACCAAATCAAGAGATTAATTATAACTATAAAAAAATAAAGAAGCTCACCTCCTGTCAGCCGAGCCTTTTCAGTGATTTTATAGAGTCCTGTATGTGATTTGATATCAAAGGCAGAAATTTCCTGTAAGGTTTTCAGCACATCTGGAGTGGCCCAGTCAGGTAAGGTGAAGTTGTGAGATTTCTGGAATGTAACCATCACAAAATAGTGTTTGCATTATCCAGGTTTAAAATAGTCATGTGCAGGTGCAGTGTTGGCAGTTTATTCAATGAAGTGTTTAATGAAGGTTTTACAGTGTAATACTATGTATAGAACAGAAAAAAATAAATAACAAAAACTGCAAAGAACATATGAGCCCGAAGCAGAAGTAATGATAGTATATTGGTTGCATAACCGAAGTTCAAGGACTTTGGAATATGCCAATTATACGAAAAAGGAACATTCTTTTCTATCATATTTTGGGTACAGCAAAGAGGGGATAAAAAGGCAGAGGATTAAAGCAACACTGTAACCACTTCAGCAAGAATCCAGGTCACCTCCTCCAGGACAGATGGTAGCTCTTTGTACTCTGCTGGTCTGGTGGTGCAGGGCTCAAGTTATTGGCTAAGAGGGCTCAGTTGGTGCTTTCAGCCAATGAACCGACCCCGAACTAGAGGACTTAGCTCAGGGGAGCTAACAGATGTTCCTTGAAAGAGCTTCTGGTTCTCCTGAAAACTGTGATCGGTGCTACAGCAAAGCCCAGGTAAGTTATGACTGTGGCGGAACCAGCCTCACCACTGGGCATTGGAGAAGACTGATTGCCAGCCTCCTGCCCTGTGAATATGGCCCCATGTTGAAATGCTGGATTTTCCCCTGCAAAGACCCAAAAGCCGGGTCATTCGGTACTTTCCCTATGTGAGCAGTGTTACCCCAGATAGCTATGCTATGGAGCCCATTCGTATAACGACTATGTGAAAGACTTTGGCTCCATGGCAATTGAACTGTATGTATGTGATCGGAACGCCATTCAGTAATAATTTGCGCTCAGATCAGATGAATGTACCTGTTTTATGCAATAGCTGCACAGTTATATATTTTTATGTATTTTATTGTATTTTGCTACCATGTGGCTAATGGAGTTTTGCCTCTGTCCTTGGAGATAATTGGATTACTTCCCAATTATCTCCAGGATAGAAGACTCTGTGGAACTGGTTTTGGGCAGAAAAACCATGCTTCATTTGGTCAAATGGGACTTTCCCTTAACTTTTTAACCCCTGAACCGATTGCCCTGATTTTTGAGTATGTGTATATTTCAAGCATGCTGATTCTGAAAATGTATGTTTTATGTGAATGGCATGTATATTTTGGAAGTTATTAATATTTTGTAAAAACTATTTCTCTGCCTGTGATAATTATATTACCCATTGTGTTCAGTAATTAAATCACAGGCAGAGGGGAGGATTTTGTGTGGGAGTGTCTGTGTGTATTGTACGGATTGATTGGTTGTATTTCAAAACCCTGTGGGCAGTACTATGTTTATGGATTGTGAATAAAAGAGGATGTATGTGCCAGTACAGTCAGTTCTGCTTGACCTCAAAACAAAGTGTTGTCTCGTTATTGGGGGAATTGGATTGTATGCTGATTGCCAGGAGTGTAAGCTGATTGTATGCTTTCGTATGCTTCTCCGGTTCAGCGGGTGTGGTGTCTGCTGCAGTGCTTGGAGTCCTCAAGAAGCGCTAGGAGCATACTTCAACGGAGGTACCCAGTCGGGGTGCCAGGTGATCCGTTACAATGACACTGTTTGGGAGCGGTTTGACTACTTACCCTGGGAGGGCACCGGGGCACTCCTGGCTCCATAACCACTACAGCGCTCTGTAGTGGTTATGGTGCTTGGAGTGCTACATTAGAAGACCATTCCTAACTACTAAAGCACTCTGCTAGTAGTACTGAATTGCTACTGGACTGTCAGATACCATATAAAAATATATATAGATATATAATGTATTGTAGAGAGTCTAGGGCGTCATAGAACAAGGACAGGTATCAAATACCGTATATCAGACCAGATTTGGGAATAGAAAGGATGGGTTAGATGGTGGAGGTATCGGGATAATGATATAAAAAAGGAGAGTATGGATGAATGTAGCAAAGAGTATTAAAAATCATTCCAAAAAAATTGGAATGTTGGTGGCATTATCTGGGAGAGGGTTAAAAACGGGAAACGGGAGGGGAATGAGATCTGAATAGTGAATGGGACAGTTTGTTTTGTGAGGTGGGCCCATCTTCATTTTTTTCAAATTATAGTTTCATTTTATGATGACATGTGCATTTTTTTATGAAGCCTTACCTGACAGAATAGTGTATCGTAGACCTTCCAGATCCGATGCGTGCTTGTGTGGTCTTTATTATAACCAGTGTAATTAGCTAGACACTCAGTGAAACCCTGTTGGTAAAAATAGGATAACATGAGGAAAGAATACAATAAACCAAGCTGGGTATGGACAGATTCAACTTTCAGTTTTGTTGTCATTTGCGTTTGACCGGCATGCGCATTTAAATATTTGTCCAACTCCAAGTGCAGTACAGGGAAATATTAAAATATTGCAAAAATCACTTGTAAGTAGAACTGATGTAATATTAATAATAATACTGCTCTGCAGTGGAGTCAGACCTTCTGTGCTGGTACATCATCAAGTGGATGACGTTTGATCCCAACTTTTATTCCTAAAATAAATAAAAACCATTAATAGGGACACTGTGGACTCCAAAGCACTTTTACTTGCTGAAATTCTTAATATGTGAATAGTGTTTCCTCTTTGTTTTACATTTTACAAAAGTGCATATCAGTAGAAATAATTTTTTTTAGAAATTAACCTTGTTACAACCCACTGTCTGTTAATCAGACCTGTTACTTGGTTTGGTTAGTTAAAGGGATTCTCCAGTGCCAGGAAATAAACCTGTTTTCCTGGCACTAGAGAATCCTGGAGTGCCCCCCTCCCTCCAGCCCCCCATCCCACATTGCTGAAGGGGTTAAAACACCTTCAGACACTTACCTGAATCCAGCGCCGATGTCCCTTGGCGCTGGGTCAGGCTCCACTCCTGCGCCTCCCCCACCAATGTCATCCGGTGGGGGAGACCTAATGCGCATTAGACCACCCCATAGGAAAGCATTATTCAATGTTTTCCTATGGGGATTCCGTCAAAGCTGGAGGTTCTCATGCAAAGCGTGAGGACGTCCAGCGTCGTTAAGACGACCAAAAGTCGTCTAAGAAGCTGGAAGTCCCTCTAGTGGCTGTCTGGTAGCATGTTTTAATTTGGGGCATATCTACTAAACAGTATTATAATTTTTATATTTATTTGGGGAGTGGAATGTCTCCTTCAGGTAAATTGTATGTTTTCAAGGCAAATAAGTAAAATATAACAACTTTTAAAGTTTTAAAATATATATATATTTTTTTATTTTTTTATTTAAATGTTAGGTTAGCCTACAAAAAGCTGAAAATCTGACATGAGACACAGAGAGACAAAGAGATCAATGGAAAGATGGATGGACAAGTGAACAGACAGACAGATGATTTCTAATTGTGAAGGGAAAACAATGCCTTTGAGCATTGAAATCATAAACGATACAACCAAAGGCCACCATTCTCCACGCTCTATGTTACATGGTGGATTTTATTTTCCTTTAAAACATGTTTTGGTGAAACAGCTGGATTTCTAGAAATTGTAATTTCCTTGCAATTCCAGCTGCAGTAGAATGCCTCACTCACTCACTCACTCACACACACTCACATGCAAACAAACAATAGTCAGGGATTTTGTCGGGTCAGCAGTCGTGGGTCTTGGTAGCTGAATTTTTCCATCCAGGGTGAGGTGCTGGGGAGACTGATAGAAACTGAAACAAGAAAAGTAACTATATGTGCCAACAGCATTACCTTCCAGCTCTTCATCTGGTTCTGATATTCAGGTTGTTGGGTGGTTTCTTTCATCAGCTCATAATATCGTGGGCAGTTCTTCGAAGGAAATTTCAGAAGCTAAACAAAATATATCACACTATTAAAGAGATTGAATATTGAGCTCATAATATCGTGGGCAGTTCTTCGAAGGAAATTTCAGAAGCTAAACAAAATATATCACACTATTAAAGAGATTGAATATTGAGCTCCTTAAAGAACATGGAGGTCATTTTATTTGATGGTGCCTTTTAAGATATAAAATTGTTAACATACAAATAAATATTTTTCTCCAGTTCAAAGACAGGAGTTGATCAAAGTCAAATTTATTTAAAGGTCCCAAACTATGATCAAGGGCAAGGATGGCTAACCTTTGGCTCTTCAGCTGGTGCAGACTATGTTTCCCTAAACATGCAGACAACTAGGATATAGTCCCAATCAGCCAGAGTGTTAAATGTTTGCCATCGCTGTCCTAGAGAAATGAAAGGTAGGTTAAAGGGACACTATAGGCACCCAGACCACTTCGGCTCATTGAAGTGGTCTTGGTGCACTGTCCCCTCAACCCTTCTGAGAAACTGCAATAATTACCTTGCAGGGTTAAGACTGCCTCTAGTGCCTGTCTGATTGATGGTTATGTGACTTTTGGTCTCCTAACCAACGCTGGACGTCCTCATGCTCTGCATGAGGACATCCAGCATCTGTTAATTCCCCATAGGAAAAATAAAAATCCAGCGCACTCCCTTATCCACTAAACAGCTACTTTGGTGCTGACAGATTTTATTATTTTTTTTTTTTTTTTTAAAACACCTAATCTAGGCAAACAATAATGGGGGTTTAGTTACATTATATGATCATACATTGCATAAGCCCGCCACAACGTCAATGTACCCCATCTTTGGCAGGTCCTACTCAAACTGCCAAATGTCTGATAAATGAACTACTTACTTGGGGAAATACTTTCATCTCAAGTTCTCTGCAGTACAAGGCTAAATAGGGCCCTGGGATGAGGCACCTGTGACAGGGAGGGGTGCAAAACCAAGGAGTGTAAGCAAGTGTGTCTGTTAGTAAGTGTGTGTGGGTGTTAGTAAATGTATCTGTCAGTAAGTGTGTGTGACAGATACAGTGTCCATATGAAAGTGTGAATGTGTGTGTGTGTATTGTATTGTGTGTGACTGTCTAGGTATGTATGGGGCAGTGTGTGTGTAATTGTGTCATTATGTATGTTGTGATTTAAAACGCTGAGTGTCTGTCAGTGAATGTTTCAAATCAGTTGGATTATGTATCTGCCATTGAGAGTGTGTGTCAATGTTTCTGTCAGTGCTTGTTAAAGGAGTGAGTGAGTGTGTGTGTGTCTCTCAGTGAGAGTGTGTGAGATGTGGAGTCGTTGCAAAAGGGAGGGGTTAGAAAGATGACCACGCCCACCTGGGGGCCCAAAACAAATTTCTGCACCAAGGCCCCTGTGACCCTAGGATCGGCCCTGCTTGCGGCATTCGCCTCACATGTGCATTATCGCCTCCCATTGGGTGACATGAGAGGGGGCAGAGCACCGACACAGAGCAAGGGTTATTGGTGCAGTAAGGGTTTTTTAACTCTTACACTGTGGGTGTGGGGGAGTGGGGAGGGAGCTATAGTGCAAGGAATACAGCTTTGTATTTAATGCGGATCTACAATAAGTCGCTAAGTGACAGTTTATGGTTCCGACAAACCTGAAAAAGCTATAAAAGCATTTACTGGGGTGAATAGTGCCGCAAAAAAATAATAATTAAATAACATACTTATCTCCACTGCACATCCGTGTTCAGAGCGACTTCGCTGACCCTCTGGCAAATCAAGTGTAATTCTTTCAGCATTGCCAAACACACACAAGCACACCCGCGTATGTCACAGCAGGGGTTAATTTAATTCATATGGCATGCCTAGACAGCCTCATATACATTTATTAAAAATTAACATTAGTGAGATTTTTAATAAATAATAATTATACATGTACATAAATCTTGGTAGTGACAGTTCTGCTTTAACAATAGAAATAAAAATGTTGGCTAGGCTACACAGCAATAAGTGTGTTCAAAGACCAGGAACAGACTCAGTTTTTTTAAAAGGGTTTCTAACATGATTTTAATCCTGCTTATCTTCTTCAGAGTGTGGCGAGTGGGAGCTTTCTAGCAAAACTTTTTCAGGGCTCCTTCAGATTGCCTTGTTAATACATGTTAAATGTTTCTGAAATACAAACATACCCGATCATCAGAGACGGGCACAGTATGAACAGGGATTGGCTGCCACAGTAGTTCAGGATTCCATATCTGAGAATTTTGGGGTGGGAAGAGTCCTGCCAGGTTTGCCTGAGCACTCATCAAGGTTCGATCGTAGTCTGTGCTGCGCACGTAGAGCTATGTGTTAAGAGAAGAAACGATAGTATGTATAATAAAAGGCAATTTTCTGGAAATGACTGGGCACAAACACCATTTTTAGTTGGGTTAGCTAGCAACTCATGTTTCTCTTTAGAGTTCATCCATGTTTATGACGCCTCAAGACAGGTTAGCGATATCCAGTTATCTCAGTAGAACAGACCAATGATAGGCAAGATAGAGGCCAAGAAGCTTACATTCCTTCTAAATTACACAAGGACCATTAAGAGAGATAGTACAAGGTATGCAGAGGAGGTTTTTCGAGGTGGTCCACAGCTTACATTATTTTGTCAGTAAACCTACTGCCCTCTATCCCACCACCACCATCATGTCTTGTCATTCTCTGTATTAAATAGAGAAGAGGATGTGAGAGAGGTAACAGGTTAGAGAGTTGAGTGATGCAAGTGCCCTGCTTTCTTTGTTCCACCACCAGATGGCGATAAAGAGAGTGCATGGGGCTTTCAGGTCACAAACTGCACCAGCTGTGACCTCTATTATTAAAGGGTCATAATATCTCTCTATGTGTGCAATGTTTCATACTGAAATGCCGCATTTGTAGACTTCAAGCGGCGAAGTGGTCATGGTGTTTGGAGTAACCCTTGAAGCCAATGTCAAAAATTCTTAAAACAAATATTTATCCCTGCCACAATAAAAACCACTTACTAATCAGCTGAAACGCTTTGAAATTCTACAGTAGCTGCTTTCTTCTTTGCAGTATAAATGTTTATTTGTCCTCTGTACAAACTCATTTATGTTTTTAATTCTAATCATTAAAATTAAAGTCGTTAGTGTCCCTCATAGGTCTGTTGACTTACCTCTCTCTTATTATATCGTGGGCTCAGGAATTGCTCGTACCTCTTCCTCAAGTACTGTCCCAATTCATATTGCTGTCTCACACCCTCCTGGTGAAAACGTTAAAAAAGTGGTAATTATATAACGTCATCTAGTAACCGTTGTCCTATAAGAAGAGGTAAAGGACAATCTGAACTGTTGAGAAAGGCCAATATAAATTAATTACATATTTACGTAGCATCTAGACTGAAAAAAAAGACTCAAGTCCATCAAAGTCAAATTTTAAACCTCATCTTTGTATGCTATTAATAAAAAAAAGGAAATAATACAATTCGATGCGGTAGCCAATAATGGGAATAAAAAAATAGACACAAAATGGGAATATAAATTCCTTCTTGACTCCATGATGGCAATTGGATTGCTCATTGGATCAACAACCTGTTTATACACATGTTAATTATATCCTTAAATATTTTTTTTTAAATAAATCAAAAACAGGCTTTTTAAAAACTATATACAAAATTTGATGTCAACCACTTTGAGTATATAATTTCACAACTATGTGGCCCTTATTGTAAAGAACCCTTTCCTGTTGAAAATGCATTTCATCCAGTCTCAATGGATGTCCTCTTGTCTGTTGTATATTCCTGCTAATAAATAGATTAGCACCGAGTGGTGTGTACCCATCCTGTATATATTTGTATAATAGTATCATATCCACTCTAATATGTCTTTTTTAAAACATTCTTTATTTTTTCAGTGCAAACCGCTACATGATGTTTCATAATATATCAAAAATACTGAACTTTTTGTAAAATAACAAAATAGCATGCTTAGACAAGTGTGGGTACGGATTAAGGCGGTCACCAAATGCTATTATTAATAAAGGTCTTAATCTGTTAATCTGCCTTTACCTTGGTCAGTTGTTGCAGGCCATTCTCCCAAATTTCTTCTTTATAAGGATCTGTTGGGTATGTGTCAATGGGAGCACGGTCTCCGTGACGGAATATCTGCAACGGCATACATTGAAGTCGATTTTGTGCCAAAAAAAATGAATTTAAAGTTAGAAGTCAGGCCTCGTATATCAGGACTCAGGACCCACGTTACTAGCCAGCCATTGAAAGTTACTTGCCCCTGCAAGCCTGGAGGGTGCGTGGCACATTAACCAGCGGTGAATTTCTACTCGTCACGGGAGTGTGGACTCACTGACTGTTAGATTGAAATAATTTGAATAATTTACGAATTCATAGTATAATTTGCACATGTATGTTCTTTCAAAAGTAGTTGGGAAGATTATGCAGAGGGTATGCAGTGGCATCACTATGGTTGGTGTCAGAAAGTGCAGTAACTCATGGTGTCAACCCCCACCCACATGGACCTCCTTCTGTACAAAACTACGCAGAATCGTAATACTGGCAGCTTCTGCAACACCCACCAAGTGACGTCACTGGCATATGTACAGTTAACATGTCCTATAATGGAAGCAGGGGAACCATAAATGAAGATTGCCCTTCTTAAAGGAACACTATGGCATATAAACATGTATTCCTAAATCAATACTGATCCCCAACCCATGCAGAGGGCCACTGCACCCAGATCATTGAGATTAAGTGGTCTGGCTGCCTTTAGTGATCCTTTAATTCAATTTGTCAACTTGGGTGATACATTTTAACGCTGACATCCATATTCTGACAGTTCCAATATTTATATTAATATTTACAAACAACCCCTCTATATTCGTACTATTGTTTTATAAAGAAGGTAATCACAGCAATAGTTTAGGTGTGTATTAGTCAGCAGCACTGCTGGAAGGGGCTATGCACACCCAATCTCTTATGTAACTCCACTGTTAGTTATTAATTGTGCACCAGGACTGCCAGAATACACTGGTTTCCAAAGCTCTCAACCACAGCAACTCTCTTTATAACTGACCCCAAACCCTTCACCATATTCCAAAAAAGTGTCTACCTGTAGATTCATGCTTGCAAGCTGTATTTAGAAGAGCATACTTATATATACGCATAGAGATAACCTATAAACACTGCGTGCATGTAATTGGTTAAACCTTTTACCATTCAACTGCTTGTTTGACCTGTAACTTACAATTTGACCTGTATTGTACAGCTTTTTATCTGGATAGATCACAATAGCTGTAAGCCGACCTCCATACTCACATCCCAATGGCAGAAGCTACTGTATGCCCCTGGCTGTACATGTACTTGTATGGGGTGTACCTGCACTGTAGGACGTTCATCATGCATCTGGCACTCAAACTGTTAAATAACTGACATACATTTTCATCATTTTTAAGTTTAACTTGTCATCAATTTATAGTGGTCCTGCTAAAGAGACGTGACATGTTCACAATTTTACAGCAGGCATTATCCATAAACGACCTGTGTTAGCATACCTTGTGGCAGCTAGAGGCATATTTGCTAAACAGTGAACAGTAATACATTGATAACCAAACTGCAAAAATGAAAGACGTTTACTTATTTTTGAAGTCCATGATCAATTCAGAAAATGTACTCTTCCATGAAAATAGGGATAATTTACTGAAAAGTGAACAGTAGAGATTTGACAAGTATAGTCAACAACTTTGTAAAATATATATTTTTCCAGCCCTGTCATTTATCCGTCTGTCCTATCTTGGACTCCAATTTGTAATTCTCTTGGGATTTCTTTACAATTCCCAATTTAGTTGAAATCCCAATCGTGTCTGTAAGCATCACCACTTGCAAAGTGCTCGGTTTATCACGTATTATAAACAGAAACATTACAGTCAATTTACTAAACACTGAAATATATTCGGGGCCAGTACAAACCTTTATCTGGAAATCTATTCATAAACAGGGCTATACAGAGGACACGAGGTCACACATTTAGGCTGGAAGAAAGGAGATTTCATCTAAGGCAAAGAAAAGGTTTTTTTTTTACAGTAAGAGCAATAAGGATATGGAATTCTTTGCCTGAAGAGGTGGTTTTATCATAATAAAGTCTATACAGATGTTTAAACTGCAATTGGATAAATACTTGCAAAAACATAACATACAAGGATATAATTTCTAATTAGTGGGGTAATAGCTGCTTGATCCAAGGAGATATCTGACTGCTATTTTGGGGTCAAGAAGGAATTTTTTCCTAGTTTGTGGCAAAATTGGAAGCGCTTCAGACTAGGTTTTTTGCCTTCTTTTGGATCAACAGCAACAACATATGTGAGGAAGGCTGAATTGATGGACACAAGTCTCTTTTCAGCTATGTAACTATGTAACTACGCTGAATTGCAAAATTTAGATTAAAAGAAACTAGTAATTCCTATACCCGAGTAGGACAATTTTTCCAAATAAGGTATTTTGGTCAAAATTTTGCAATTCTTTTTTTTAATTCTCTACAATACACATTGTTATTTTTTTAAAGTGAGAATTGCTGGGAATTCAAAATAAATTCAAAGTTAATTAATTTTTTGTATTATTAAAAAAAAACCTCTTTATTTAAAGAGTGACCGTCAAACAGTTACATGGCTGACACAGCGTCCGCAATGCATTGTGAAAGTTAATCTCAAATTTAAGTCCAGAATAACCACATTAAAAACAGAATTGACTTGAAGAATTTTTGTAATTCAGATATTTTTGGCCAAAATGTTGAAATTGACTTTGAATTCTCAGCAATTCTAACTTTAGTGCATTACCCTGTTTGGGGATTAAACCTCAATGTCCTAAATTAGAAAATTTACTAAATGTTTTAAACACTAAACAATCTGTTATTTTGCCGACTGATTTTGCAAAATCAAGGCACTAATAGCCAAAAATTATTCTCCAACAGCAAAATCCCTTGTTTGTTTTTTTTTGCCTTTCATTTTGCAAGATTTTTCAATAACCACTTTTTAGTAAATAAACCTCTAGTGTAGGTATTACAGCCCAAGACTATTTTGCCTTATAAATAACACAGAAAAACTTAAAGACTTTTCACATCTTTGTTAATCTACCCCAAGCATGGCACAAACGCATCCGGCTAAATTAGAAATATTTTCAAAAATGTGTGACTTACCAAAACGACAAGTCTAAGGTCTTTGGAAGAGGCAGCGACAGGATAACACTTAATAAAAGCAAGGAACACTGCCCATTGAAAAAAGAGCAACATTGTGTTACCTGTAACCCTGGAGCCTATGTACTCCTCATGATGGGAGCTTTGTCTGTTATAACATGCATTGCCCCCCTCCCAATCAGATGCGTACATGTTAATGCAAAGGTTGCTGGGGGGAAAAAAAACTCTTCCACAGCAATAAGACTTTGCTGAATTCACAAAAAGAGAGTTCTGCCATTACATTGGATCTTATGCTCTTTTGAGATTAACCGCAAACACCGCAGGTGCTGATTAAAATAAAACAAGGGTTTGAGGGATGTTTGTGTCGGATTCGCAGATTTTTACGAGAGGCTGCAATCACAGCCATCTCTCAAAACACCAACATATGCTGTCCAGCTCTTTGTGTATTAGAAGGCTGCATAATGTCACTCAATGCAGGACTTTAAGGATAGCTGCCATTGGTTATTAGGGTTATTTAATTTAGAAGATTGCATGTAATAGAGACCATTTCTGTATTATTTTTAAATTCTTAAATATAAATAAATACTTAAGAAAAGAAAAAGTTACCTGCGCTCTCTCCTTAATCCCTATGTATATTTAGACAAATGGAGGTCATTTAGTTGCTCCAATGGCCATTGGAGGGAATGCCCGCCTGCCAACGTCAAGGCAGACCCCCCTAAAGCAGGTCCTAACACTAACTTTTTCACTATAACTTTTTCTTTTCTTTGGTTTTTACTATATATTGGGGCTGATGTGTACTGTAGTCATTGCTGCCGGCCCAGTAGTGATGGGAGTGAGCGCAGGACTTCTCTTTTTTGTATTTGTATTTACTTTGTATCACACAGCCTTTTTACAATGCTGCCACCCATCCCATGTGTTCCCTATTAAGGGTTAATAAGTATATAGGGGTGTATATATAAAAAATACCCCTCTGTCTCATTAGAGATATCTTTGCCGGAAGCTCAAGGAAGCAGGCTGAAGGGTCAGTGTTAGGACCCGCTTTAGGGGGGTCTGCCTTGACGTTGGCAGGCGGGCATTCCCTCCAATGGCCATTGGAGCAACGAAATGACCTCCATTTGTCTAAATATACATAGGGATTAAGGAGAGAGCGCAGGTAACTTTTTCTTTTCTTTGGTTTTTACTATATATTGGGGCAAATGTGTACTGTAGTCATTGCTGCTGGCCCAGTAGTGATGGGAGTGAGCGCAGGACTTATCTTTTTGTATTAGTAAATACTTGTTTTTAGAAAATCTCTTGGTTTATCCTTTTTGTGGGGGCAGCCATCTTTAAATCCTCATTAGTAGAAAGTACTACTTATCTGAACAAAGACGATATGTCATGAACAGCCAAATAAAACAGGTGTATTTTATTTTAGATGCCTTGGACCTTTATGGGACGTCAGTATTTGTGAACACACACTAGTTCTTCTTTACCTGCATGGTATTTGGTCACAAGTACTGCTTATCCAACCAAAGAAAATTTAAAGATGGCCACCCCCACTGAAAACTATAAGTTCCCTACCAACATTAACAGTGATTAAAACTACAATCTAAAACTACAATCTAATTTAAGGTAAATCACCATTACACTATAAAACATTTCTATATTCAAGTGCTAATTGACAATATATTTACTAAAGCTTGACTAGACAAAATTCTATTCATCTGTTGGAATCGTTATACTAACGTGTATATAGGAAATATCAGGAGGTGATAGCTTTAAATGTAATGTGGGGTGTTTAATTTTAAAGAAAAAGTAGTGACCATGGTTCCTGGAGTGCCCTGGTGGTCTCTCATGATAAGCAGTCAAAACATTGAGAGCTAATGGATGTTATTTGTTGCGGCTTCCAAGCTCATGAGGAAGAGGTGTCTGGTGGCAGCAGAGCCCAGAGTCCCCATTCTTAAATAGTTTGACTGCTTACACTAGGAGGGCGTCAAAGCAATCCTGGACCATAATTATTGTAGCAAACTGTAGTGGTTATGGTGATTGGAGTGTTCCTTTAGCACGCAAGCAGTAAACCCTTGAAAGAATTATCTCTCCTACATTGTGTCTCTGGCTTTTATATACAATTGTGTAACATTCGTCTTTCATAAACTAAATAAATTTATTCTTAATAAATATTGATGTGTGTAGGAATGCTAAATAGAAACCATGGACTTATGGGAGGCTTAAGAAAAAAGGATAAGCATAGGAGAGCTATCCTTCCGAAGCCAAACAGGAAATTTTGATTGAAACAAACAGGAAATTCCAAAGAATATCCAGAGATTCAGATACACATTACGTAAATCTATACCAATCACAGTATCCAAAAATGGACATTCTTCGTTTTATCATCACATGTGCATGACAGATACTCAGCATTGGAATATAGCCCACGGTGATTTGAGATCAGAAGCCTTATTTTCATAATGAGTACATGTATAAAGGAGAATCATCACTACGCTGCAAATTGCACCACTAAATAAAACACTGAAAATAACTTGCAACTTGTGTTAACCTTTTTCGAAATGTGTTTTCTTTTAAATGTGTATGAAATGAATTAGCCATTGATATCACAATCACAATCCATTTCAGTCATGCTAGCAACAGGACATGCATGGCATTGAAGTAAGATAAACAGAAACATTAAAGGGACACTATAGGCACCTAGACCACTTCATGTCATTGAAGTGGCCTGGGTGAACAGTCCCAGGTCCCTTAACCCTGCAAAGCTAGTAACTGCAATAATTAGCTTGGTGGGTACCAGACAGCCACTAGAGGAAGCTAAGGGCTGTTAGGCACCTAACTGACGCTGGATGGGGGAGGACGTCCAGCGTCAGTTAGGTGCCTAACAGCCCCTAGAAAAGCATTGTATAATGCTTTCCAATGGGGGAAGAACTAATGTGAGCATGGCCATTGCCGCGTATGCCCATTAGGTCTACCCCACCGACTGACGCAGGAACATCGGCGCTGGATTTAGGTAAGTGACTGAGGTAAGTGACAGGGAGGGGAAAACTTTGTTTTTCTGGCACTATAGTTTCCCTTATAGGGTTATTCAATATTATTCACCATTCATACTGCAAATCTGGAGATTGTTCACACTATATTCACACTATTTAACTATGTCTGGATTTTGCAGTACTGGTTCTGAAAGAGCAGGACTGTTGTTTAGATTTCAGCCTGATTGATCACTACCAGACTTTTCAGATGGGGAGGAAGTGCACCCACTCCCATCAGGGTGCCTCCAAGCAGGAAAGCCCAACTCCCAAATTACATACTCGTTTTCCTGGCACTATAGTGCCCTGAGGGTGCCCCCACCTTTCTCTGAAACTGCTATGTTTATTTAAAAAAATGGGTTAACCCTAGAAGGACCTGGCACCCAGACCACTTCATTAAGCTGATGTGGTTTGGGTGCCTAGAGTGGTCCTTTAAATACAAATGTTTGGGCACACCTGTGGTTTCTTAGAAGAGTCATTCTTTAATTCAGGAGTACAGAAAATGAACATTTCGGCACCTACCCGTGCATTTGTCAAGTCTTGAGAAAACGCTGTTCATTTTCTGTACTTCTAAATAAAAGATGGCCTCTTCAAAGAAACCACAGGTATGCCCAAACATTTGTATTTAAAGCTACTCGATCACTACTAGGCATCTGATGTCTGGACCCAGATGCTTAAAATACAGACCCAGATTTTTAAATACAAACTATCTGCCTGCTGGCACCGTTCGGGCAGACAGTTAAAGAACACTTGGCAACCATGTGCCAGCTGGTCTGACCTTGCTAGCCAGCCATCACATTTAAACGTTTTTAAAAAACAAAATAAAGCCAATGGAGGTTAATATGAGGGTGGTTACAAATATAAACAATGACTTTCATGTGTTTATGTCAGATTGTGTGTGTGTGTGTGTGTGTGTCTCAAGGTGTGTATATGGCAGTGTGTGCATCTTTGTGCCTGTGCTTGTATGTGTCAGTGTGTATATATGTGTCTCTGTGTGTTAATATGTATGTATATCTGTGTAATTATGTAGGTCAATATGTGTGTGTTTCAGGATGTGCATCTGTGTATGTGTGTGTGCACATCTGTGTGTCAGGATGTGCATTTGTGTGCCTGTTTGTCAGTGTACATGTGTGTGTAAGTGTGTATGTATCTTTGTGCCAGGGTGTGTATCTGTGTGTGTCTATACAAGTCAATGTGCGCATCTGTGTGTCAGGGTGTGCATCTTTGTGTCTGCGTGTGTGTGTCAGTTTGTGTGTATCTGTGTGTCAGGGTTTGCATCTGTGTGTGTATACATGTCAGTGAGTGCATCTGTGTGTCAGGGTGCCTGTGTGTGTCAGTGTCCATGTATCTGTCTGTCAGGGTGTGCACTTGGGCAAATGGTAGATCCCCAGCTGGTATAGTATCTTTGGAGTTGTACCACAGGTGGAGATCTACCTTTTGGCCACTCTTGCACTAGAGGGGCACCCAAAACCCTTTCTTACACCAGGGCCCTCTCTACATTAGTTCCACCACTGACTCCCATAGAGAGGTTTGAAACTTTCTAAATGCCCCACCCTCCATATCACGGGGCAATATGTCCTATCTACTAAACAGTTAGCAGATTCGAAGCTCTCTGAAAGGCTACTCTTGCCTCTCAAGCAGTGGCGTACCTACCATGGTTGCAGGGGTCGCAGTTGCGACAAGGCCCATCACTCCAGGGGGCCTGGCCGCAGCGGGGAACCCTACGAACGTGGGCTGTCGGAATACATTCGGTGCCGGTGCACAGTTGCACCGGTTCGTGGCCCACGATTCCCAGGTGTCTGGTAGGATGGGAGATCTGTGTTGTGCTGCTCCCCACCTGCCTGTACATAGCGTGGCCGAGCAGTCTGACAGGCTGTGCTCACTTAGACAGCACTTCCTGTCAGATCGGGAATGTGCCAGGTACAGGAGGGGGAGAGAGAGGGAGGAAAGGGGAGGGGGAGAGAGGGAAGAACGGACATATGAAAGGGAGGGAATGAGACACGGGGAGGGGCTTTGGGTGGGAGGGAATGAAACATATGGGGATCTGGGGGGAATAAGACACATGGAGGGGCTGTATGGAGGGAATGAGACATATGGTTGGCCTGGAGAGGGGAATGAGATTAATGGGGGGGGGGGGCTAGGAAATTATTTGCACCGGGGTCCCGTGGTTTGTAGTTACATCTCTTCCAGTTATCACAGATCATTGTAAAAAAACAAAGAGAACGTTACCTGCGCTCTGGCCTAAATCCCCATGTACATTTAAACAAAATGGAGGCTCTTTAGTTTTATTCCAATGGCCATTTGAATATATAAGCTCACCTGCCACGTCAAGGCAAGCCTCAATAGGTGAGTCCTACTCTAGCCATTAGATATGCTGACATCAGCCAAGAATCTCCAGCAAGACAGGAAGGGGTATCTTATAAACCCTTTCACATTTAACCCTTTATAGGGCTTCTATATGGAGCGCAGGTAACTTTCTCTTTGTTTTTACTATGTATTTTAAGCTGTTGGATACTAAGCTACTGCTGCCGTAAGTGTGGTGGTTTATCTTAGTGTTTATCACAGATCATTAACTAACCATTGCCATCAATACCATCAAATCTGATATAGCATTTAATCAAACTCATATAGCTATCTTGTGCAGCGCATACTTCCCAACACTAGCATCCAAAGAATTGGTACATCGTGGGAGGGGGTTAAATGGGAAGCAACTCTGACTCTACGTCTGATAAACTGGCAGATCAGCCTAGCGTGAATGCAAGGATGGCAGCTTGTCAATCTAACAAGCTGGTCCACTGAGGCTCACTCTGAAGGGAGTACCATATCAGTGCCCTCTCCAGGGTCCTAGTACTCTGAAACATGGCTCATGGAAGGATTTTTGGCTACACAGGGAAAGGTGCATTTGCCGCCCCTCCCCAAAAAAGCATCTTCACCTGTGTGTCATTTAACCCCCCCCCCCATATTAAATTAAATTTCTTATCTGCTTTTGTGTTTCTTATTGCCTCTTTTCAATGTGTTATCCCTTTTAGTGTGCCTTATCCCCCATTTTCCTCTGTGTGTCTTCCCCACCTTTATGTGTCTCTTACTTCCTCACAGACCCTTTGTGTGTTACTTGCTTCTGCCCAGTCCATTTGTGTGCTTCTTACTTCCCCCAGCCCCTCTATGTGTTTCTTGCTTTATCCAACCTCTTTGTGTGTCTCTTACTTCCCCCATTCACTCTGTGTATCACTTGCCCCCATCCTGTTTGTGTCTCTTGTTCCCCTTCCCCTGCACCTCTGTGTGTCTATTATCCCTCCCCCAGCCCCTTTAGTGTATGTCTTTCGCCACCTGCCCATTTGTGTGTCTTTTACTCCCTTTTTCTAGTCCCTCTGTGTGTCAGAATGGTTGGGAAGACTGGTAGCATTGTACCGTCCACACTCTATATTTTAATGCATTCTGCCTGGAAATTCGTTTAATAAGTAAATACAGCTGATGTCCAACGAGCTAATGCAAGACAGAAACTATAGAAAAAAAATGAAGATCGAGAAGATTGCTTTTAAAAAAGGACACCTGCCCTGAATAGTATTGCAGAATTGGCCTTGGGCATGCAGCTAATAATAGACTTGGAAAGTGCTTATGATCACAGTGAATTTTCCCTGCTGTGCTCAGCACCTTTCCGCAGACACTGTAGCCACAGAGTCCTTGAGAATAGTATTTGTGCCTTGCAGATGTTTTTTTGTGAATATAAACAGCAGTTTGCATCACTAAATCAAACACTGAAAGTCATCTGTAACTATGAGGGTGAAAAAGTGTACTGTCTTGCTTAGTGGTGTCACCATTCAATTGTCTTGCCTGTATTTGGATTTATATTCCTTGTATATTATTTTTATTACTGCCTGTGCCTGGTGTAATTTTATTATTTTTTCCCAAAATAAATAAGCAACTACAAGGATCGCAGGTATGAGGATTGCAGGTATATTTAGCAGCAATCCGGGAAGGTCTATGAACATCTCTAGAAGATGAGGGAACCATTATTATTATGATATTTATAGAGCGCTGTCAAATTCCGCAGCGCTTTACAATGGGTGGACGAACAGACATGTAGTTGTAACCAGACAAGTTGGACACACAGGAACAGAGGGGTTGAGGGCCCTGCTCAATTAGCTTAGAGGGAGTGGGGTAAAATGACACAAAAAGGTAAGGATAGTATTAGACTAGTGACAGTTGCAGAAGAGGAATCAGTCAGGAGCTACTAACAGTTTCATTGATACGCTTTTATGAAGAAGTGGGTTTTTAACGATTTTTTAAAGGAGTGGAGACTGGGTGAGCATCTAACGGAGGAGAGAAGTGAGTTCCACAGGAACAGTGCAGCCCTCGAGAAATCTTGAAGGCGAGCATCAGAGGTGGGAGTACGGACAGACGATAGACATAAGTCTTCAGCAGATCGTAAGGGCCTAGACGGGACATACTTGTGTATAATGGAGGATAGATAGGTGGTAGCAGCATTATGTAGAGATTTGAAAGCAAGAACCAGAATTTTAAATTGAGCTCTATATTTTATAGGAAGCCAATGTAGGGACTGACAAAAGGGTGAGGCATGGGAGGTGTGGACGGACAGGAAGATGAGCCTCGCCGCCGCATTCATTATGGACTGTAACGGTGCTAGTTGGGAGCACGTAAGACCACTGAAAAGCGCATTACAGTAGTTAAGGCGAGAAAGGACAGTGGAATGGACCAACACCTTAGTCGTATCTGGCGTTAAGTAGGGGCGGATGCGCACAATGTTTTTGAGATGGAAATGACAGGATTTGGCGATAGATTGAACATGAGGCTTGAAGGAGAGGTTGGAGTCAAAGAGAACACCTAGGAAGCGAGCCCTTTAGGAGAGAGCAAGGGACAGGTATGCGTGGTGGAGCTGATGGTAGCACCGTTGACTTGGAGGGAGACAGACACAGGAGGGAGGAAAGACCAGAATTTCAGTTTTGGTCAAGTTTAGTTTAAGGAAGTGGGTAGCCATCCAGTTAGAAACAGCAGAGAGGCAGTCAGAGACACTAGTCAAGAGGGACGGGGAGAGATCAGGAGAGGACAGGTAGATCATGGTTGAGATCACCACAAGGGTGTGATCAGTACCAGAGAAGTCCCCCAAAGGTGGGGGTATAGGAGAATTTTTGAAATATGCCAGAATGGAGGAAATGCACATTGCTCTGCCAGAGTCCAATCTTGTAGAAAGGCATCCACAGCTTGGGAATCTGGATCTGGATCTGGTCTCCAGCTGAAGAATTGTGGAAGATGAGTGTTTAAGTGGAAGGCAAAGAGGTAGATAACCAATGGGCCCCAAAGATGAGTGATGCTGAGACACAGGGGTTGATGCAGATGCCAGTCTCCGGAATCACTGAGGTATCGTGAGTTCCAGTCTGCCGCACTGTTGGACAGTCCTGGAATGTGTTCAGCCACTATTGAAATATTGTGTAAGATGCAATAATGCCATAAATCTCGAGCAAGCACCTCCAAGGTCCTTGACCTTGTGCCTCCCAGATGATTTATGTACCAGACAGCCGACACATTGTCCATCTTGAGCAGGATTGAACAAGAGGCTGTCAGTAGGGAGATTCTTCAAATGGCAAATGATCCCACCTACAGCTCTATGTCTCGATGTGTAGAAAATAATTCATTTACAGATCATATTCCACTTGTAGAATGCCCCAACAGCCCGCACCCCAATGGTGTAAACAGGCGTCGGACTCTACGATGACGTCGGATGTCGAGCCAAATATGGCCCTGCCGTTCCCCTCATCCATGTGGGACAGCCAGCAAAACAACTCTTCCTTGGCCTTTCTATCTAATGATATCTGAGCCTCGTAAAAATGACTTGCTCAGAGATATGAGGCATTGAGACATTGTAGGCTATGGTAATGTAACCAACCCGAAAAAATGGCTTGGAATGACGACGTTAGATGGCCGATAATGCAACCTAGATATCAGAGGTAGAGATGTTCTCGGTAGTGAAAGCGCCTGATTTCCATTTTGATGGACTTGACCTTGTCTGTCGGTAGATGTAACATTTGATGCTTAAAATCCCAGACATTCTATGGTATGGGAAGGTCCGAGAATGGATTTTTTTTCCAATTTATAAGGAAACCTATGTTTTGGAGGAGTCTGATCTTCCAGTAAGATCTACAGATTGTGAGAGGAGGGGAATGTTGTTTAGATAAATGATCCAACAGACACCCTGACTTTGAAGGAACTCCACCACTGGTTTCATGATGGTAAAGCATCATGTGGCTGAAGAGAAGCTGAAGGGTAGGAAAGTGAATTTCCTTTCTTTTGTCTCTCCATGTGAATTGTAGGAAATCTCTGTAATCAAGTGCAATCGGAATTGCAAGGTATGTGTCTTTGAGATCCAGCTCGGCCATTCAATCCGACGGTAGGAGGAGGTCACAAAGACAATGAATGTCTTCCATCTCGAAATGGTGGTATTAAAGAAAAGCATTCAGGGGTTTCAAGTTGATCACTGGGCGAATTCGGCTGCTTTTTTTTTTTTTAAACTATGAAGAGGTTGCTCACAAAACCTGGGGTGTCCCAAGGGGCTTCCTGAATAGCTCCTTTAATCAACAACTTGGATATCTTAGACATCATCAGGACCTCAACTTGTTGGGAAACCACAAAGAGACGATACCTGAAGAGAACAAGAAATCAGTTTCAAGCAGTATGCTAGAACTGTATCTAACATCCATAAATCAGAGCTTATCAATGGCCACACATGAGCAAAACAAGCCAGTCTGCCCTCCACACATGGATGGGAAGAAAGGGTAGTTAGGCTGTACAGACGGCTCCCAAAAAGCTTCTAAATCTTGATAAAAGATTCTCCAAATAAAATAGCCATAGCGGGAACCCCTGGTTTATTTAAGGCCATATTGACCAGTTTAGGCTCTAATTTTAGTAGGATTGCCTTCCTAAGCACCGTGGCCAAAGCCGTGTTGGCATTACACAACTTACATACAGTCTTTGGCAACATCAAAATCGAGCTGTTACACTCCAGATTGAGCAGCCTCTAGCAGTTTGTAAAACCTATCTAATGGCCCCATAGAATCCAAGAGCTTGTCTTAGGTATATATTAAAGAGAACTTGAGACTATTTCTAGGCTTCCAACAAATTTAACTATAATTTGGGTAATCTGGGGGTCGATCTCAGTGGTCTTTCAAGCTTGGTCCAGGTCTATGGGACGGGTACACCCTGCTCTCAGCTTATTGCTTGTTTCCTTAGATAAGGGTTTGTAGATATGCATAGGTAGGAATTTAGCAATATGTTCTGGCGGTTCCAATTTTGTGGAGCATGGGTGGCTTAATCTTTGGGATCAAATAGGGGAACACCCATAAACACAGAGTTTCACCACCTTCAACTCTCAAACAACTTGTTGATTTACTCACTAAAGAATATGCAGTATCTTACTCCATAATATTAAGGACTTTTATTATTATTATTATTGCCATTTATATACCGCCAACAGATTCTGTAGTGCTTTACAATATTATAAGGGGGTGGGGGGTTAACTATAAATAGGGCCATTACAAAAAACTTACAGGAACTATAGGTTGAAGAGGACCCTGCTCAAACGATCTTGCCGTCTATTGGTGGTGGGGTATAAAACACAAAAGGACAGGAGATCGCAAGCAAATAAGGTGGGAGTGAAGCAGAGCTGGAGTAGAGAGTAGAGTGCTGCCCTTAAGGAGAGAACAAGGGACAGGTATGTAAGGTAAGGGTTACTTTGGGAGGTCATAAGCTTTCTTAAAGAGATGGGTTTTAAGGCACTTTTTAAACAATTGAAGACTAGAGGAGAGTCTGATGGTGGAAGGCAAGCTATTCCATAGGAAGGGAGCTGCTCGTGAGAAGTCCTACAAGCGTGAGTAGGCCGTGTGGGTGCGAGCAGCAGACAAGAGAAGGTCATGGACAGAGCTGAGAGACCGAGAAGGGACATGCCTATGGATCTGTGAGATATGAGGGGCTAGAATTGTTCAGTGCTTTATAGGTATCGATTAGTACTTTGAATTGACTCCTATAGCATACAGGAAGCCAATGTAAGGACTGACAGAGGGGTGAAGTGTGAGAGGAGCGACTGGAGAGGAAAATTAGTCTGGTGGCAGACTTAAAAAGTGTCACGTATTCATCCGCTTATAAAAATGTGGTTAATGACATTTACTGTCCACACTGGAAAAGTTGTGCCGAGCAGCAACCTAATCCACAGAAGGGTTAATGCTGAGCAGCAATTATGCAAATGAAACCTGGTAACTGACTTTTAGGCCCAGTTCTCATCCTGCTCAGTGCCCTGTCGTGGTTTCCCTTGTGGTTGTCCGAGAGCGCGTTCCTGTTAATAGTTTTCTACCTGGTTTTTGACTTTGGCTTTGTTTTTTGACTTCTCTATATTCTGGTATCCTGAATCCTGGCTTTCCTCATCGCTGCATCCCTTTCTGTGTTCCCTGACCTCGGCTAGTATTTTTGACTATTCTATGTACGTTAAATCTGGCCATTCTAAGGACCGGTAATACGTTACTTATTTGCCATCTGTGCTATACAGTTCTACGTGCTGAGTCAAACAGTAATCCTGACAAAAGAGCGAAAGAGGAGGATCAGTATTAAAGGACCACTATAGTGCCAGGAAAACATACTTGTTTTCCTGGCACTATAGTGCCCTGAGGGTGCCCCCACCCTCAGGGACCCCATCCCGCCCGGCTCTGGAAGGGGGAAAGGGGTTAAATCTTAACTTTTTCCAGCGCCGGGCGGGGAGCTCTCCTCCTCCTCTCCGCCTCCGATCCTCCCCGTCGGCTGAATGCGCACGCGCGTCAAGAGCTGCGCGCGCATTCAGCCGGTCACATAGGAAAGCATTATCAATGCTTTCCTATGGACGCTTGCGTGCTCTCACTGTGATTTTCACAGTGAGAATCACGCAAAAGCGCCTCTAGCGGCTGTCAATGAGACAGCTGCTAGAGGCTTTGGGGGAAGGCTTAACCCATTCATAAACATAGCAGTTTCTCTGAAACTGCTATGTTTATAAAAGAATGGGTTAAGCCTAGCTGGACCTGGCACCCAGACCCCTTCATTAAGCTGAAGTGGTCTGGGTGCCTAGAGTGGTCCTTTAAGAGGAGGGAAAAAAAGGAGCTCCGTTTTAGAAAGATTGAGTTTTAGAAAGAGGGAGGAAATCCAGTCAGAGATGTAAGAAAGGCAAGCAGTGACATGTTACAGGACTGCAAGGGAGAGGTCCGGGGAGGAGAGATATATCTGGGTGTCATTAGCGTACAGGTAATCCAAATAAGGTAATAAGTTTGCCAAGAGAGGCAAAGAGAGCAAGAGAAAATAGAAGGGGACCAAGGGCAGAGCCTTGGGGGACTCTAACAGAGGCAGGACGAAGGGAGGAGGTATCATTAGAGGCACTGAATGAGCATTGGGAGAGATAAGAGAAAAACCATGAAAGGACAGAGTCACAGAGACCGAGTTATTGAAGAGTTTGAAGAAAGGGAGCATGATCAACAGTGTCAAAGGCAGCAGAGAGGTCAAGAAGAATTAGTATGGAGTAGTGGACTAGTACAACAGCGTTTAATAAAGGCATAAGTTGTTATGTTGAAGACAAAGAATGGGTTAGTGCCTTTTTGGTTCTTGAAAATTAATATGTTGTTCGGTTTTTCTTTAACTTTGCCCAATATCTACCCCTGGCAGGATATGGTGTGAGTTGACAGTAGGAAAGTGCTAGATAGTTTAGAGAATGATTATACAGTATTTTATGCAAAATACACATAAATATGAGGTGACGGTATAAAGAGGTAAGTTAAAAATGCAGATAACTAAAAGCCGCAAACTATAATCTCTGAAGGTAAATTTAATGGATCTATCTTTGAAAGTTCATAAATATACACTTACGCTTGCTTGTTAATTTTGTGTAATTTATAAACAAGACCAGAACATGGGTTTGTGAAGCCCTATATTGGTAATATTTATCATGTCAGGCTCAAAAATAGGCCTTAGGACTATGGTGACTTAGGTCATTTAACTAAATGTGTTCTCTTTATGCAAAAATAAATGTTTTTAAGGTGAAAGGTAAAGTTTCTAAGGCGGGTGAACCAGGTTGATCTAGCAAGAAGACACCAGTGATACACTAACTGTTCATTTATTGGCACCAACGGACCTCATGGCATTCACCTGCAAATCCTGAAGTTTCCTGGAATTAACAGGTAGATGATGCAGTGAGGCTCTTTGACATGGAAGCTCTGCTGGTTAAAGGGACACTATTGATACCCAGACCACTTCATCTATTTATAGTGTTCTGGGTGCAGTGTTCCTGTCTGTTTAACCTTGAAAACGAAAATATTTTCCATGTTTCTATTGCAGATTAAGTCATCTTCTAGTAACTGCCAGCCAGACATCCAATAGAGACATTTCCTGGTCCCAAACAGATTTTTATTCTGTAAAACGACAGTGGAAGTCCTCATACCTTGCATGAGTATGTCTAATGTTTTCAAATTCTCCATAGGCAAGCATGGATTTAATGCTTTCCTATGTTTAAGCTTAAATGTGCGCAACCATCACCGAGGCATCGCAGGAGGAGAACACCTATCCAGGGCTAAGGAGGTCTCGGTGCTGGAAAGAGATAAGTGAAATAAGGCGAGGGGGACAATATAGCGTTAGGAATAGACATTGGTATTCCGAATGCTAGAGTGTTTCTTTATTGTTAAAGGGCTTTATCGTGAAATAATTATGTTGATGACTTTGTGTGACTAACAAGTAACGACGGAAAAGACAATTTTCCCCCAATCTCCACACTCGCTGAGATCTTCTTTTATTATTCTTACTTTTCTTTTTCACTTTCTACTCCTTTTGCCCACAATGAAATTGTGTCCATAATTAATATACCTATGTTTTTAAGTAATGTGTGTTGTTTTTTCTTCTTGTTATAGAAAGGTATGGCAAAGTAGCTTTGTTATGATACAGTTGGTCAAGTTACTTGCATGCACATACTGTGCCTAAATACTCTATACTATCTGATACTGGTACAGGGTCTTAAGGAGACCTCACAGGACTAGGCGTTTATATATCTACAGCTATAACAAACAAAGTAAGGAGAGAAAGGCATGGAACTTCTGCATGAGTTTGTCTGGTGTTGTGTGGGGATATTATTTTGCATTGTGGAAAAAAAATGATCACGGTTTATTTGCTAAAGCGAGAATTGAAAGATAATTTTTTAATTTAAGGACAAAATAGCTGACTTGGAAAAATGCTCCAATTGAACTAAGTTTTCAGTTCAGCTGCTCTGGCCTTATAAATTACATTCACTTTGAGTTCTCAAATTAGAAAATAATACTGACGGTCTTGACAACATTTACAGGGTTATTCACCAAAGTGAGAATTCAATGTGAATTTCAAATTCAAAAAGTTGCGAACCGGAAGCACAGCTGAATTTGAGAATTGGAGATTTTTTTTCAATTCCACTATTTTGTCCTTAAATTTGAAATTCTCTATAAATTCACTTTAAATTGTCTTTTTAGTGAATAACCCTGTTAGCCTGTTAGTCCAGATTTAATATAATCAAGATTACTCACTGTGGCCACAAACGTCAAATTGCTGGTTTTGGAAGTAGACACCATCAAGATGTGGAGATTGGTGGAAAGAAATAGGAGCCATTCTGCAGCTACTACCATGTTGTGAGGGAACAGACAGCGACTGAATGTAATTGTTCGCACATGCATTATATCAGCCCAATTTTTTACTTTTTTTTTTTTATACAAATGTTTATATAGTCAGGAAGTGTGCATTCCAGGGCCTCCAGATTCCTGACAGCTATCCTAGTTTTTCAGGGATAGTCACTAGCTTAGAACGCCTGTGTGGTATGTTGCTGTCCCAACACATGCTAAATAGGTTTTTATCTTTCCATGTTTAATGCTGGCTGTTTAACAACTGGCTGTTTGCGCTAGTATTAATGAGAAATACATTTGTGGTAATAATCTGTGTTATTCTTCACGTATGCTGCCTTAAATTTACTCTGTGAAATGTTCTGCTTGTGTGACAACCCAAAGAGAGGAATCCGAAACACTCAACTGCCAAAGCTGTGAGGAAAGAAAAATAGTAAAAGTTTGCATGTTCTAGAAAATGGTGACATATCTCCCAACTGTCCCTATATAGGAGGGACAGCCCCTATGTTGGCCCAAAATCCCTCTGTCCCTCTTCTCTATTATAATGTCCCTCTTTTGTAGGAGCTCTGTAATGTTGGTTTGTCTGAGTATATAACAGAGTTCCACAGTAATAATACTCCCAGTAATGTGTCTCTAAACTACAATAAATGGGTTTAGAAATCAGTCTGTGTAAATAAGATGCATTGTTCTTGTTCTTAATTACATTTTAGTTGCATTAGTACTAAAATGAAAGTGTCTGTCTGTTTTTGTCCATTTGAAATGTAGTGAATCAAGTGGGAAGAGGGGTGGGGTGGGGGAGGAGGGAATGAAAAGAAGCTTTCAAAGTATATGTTATTTACGGATATTAGCTGTTCAACACAGAAACCGTGTTTGCTTTCTGCTAATTGGCTTCGTGAGTTTCTCCACTTACCATGGAGTCCATTGACCAACCTCCCCTAATCAACAAAGGGGTGCTCACACAAGCAGGGTTGTTAAAGGGACTCTCCAGGCGCCCAGACCACTTCTGTCCATTGGAGTGGTCTTGGTGCCTACTCCCACCACCCTTAACCCTGCAAGTGCAGTTATTGCAGTTTTTATAAACTGCAATAATTACCTTGCAGGGTTAAGTCCTCCTCTAGTTGCTGTCTATCAGACAGCCACCAGAGGGACTAACGTGTTCTTAGAAAACGAAAAGTGTTTTAAACGACGCTGGACGTCCTCACGCTATGCATGAGGACCACCAGCGTCGCCAGAATCCCCATAGGAAAGCATTAAACAATGAATTCCTATGGGGAGGTCTAATGCGCATGTGGCCATTGCCGCGCATGCGCATTTCGTCTCCCCCGGAAGACTGACGTCGGCAGGCGAGGAGTGTGGGCGGAGCCTGACCCAGCGCCGACGGACATCGGCGCTGGATTCAGATAAGTCACTGCTGGGGTTTTAACCCCTTTAGCAACATGGGATGGGGGGTAGGAGGGAGAGGGGCACTGCAGTGTCCTGCAGTGCCAGGAAAATGGATATGTTTTCCTGGCATTGGAGATTCCCTTTAACTAAAGAGAGAATTCAAGGTGAATTCAAAGTGAATTTCACCTTTAAGATAAAAATAGACGAACAGAAAAAAATTCTCAGTTATGCTTCCATTTCGACTACTTCTAAAAATGTGAAATTCTTTTTGAATTCACTTTGGATCCTCATTTTAGTGAATAACTAACACACACAAAAACAAACAAAAAGGGATATGATTTCTAAAGGGATTCCATGTAACCTGCATATCTCCTTAGCATATATTTTGACCAAGAGTTTGGCATTGGGTAAGGAGGTAACTCAACAATGATGTCAATGGACAGGTGTGTCCAGCGCATTTTCGGACTGGGTAATGGCATGAGTAAACCAGCTGGCCTATGAGAAACTGATTTAAACTGGGTACAAGCAGTACATGCTTGAATGAACTCAACAACTTCCCTTTTCAATGAAGGCCACCAGAATAATTGTGAAATAGACTTGTATGTTTTATTAATACCAGATGTCCAGCAGGTTTAGTTTTGTGTAGCAAAAAAATGTCAGTGCTGGAAAATAAACCCCTAAATGTTGAACATTAAGGGAATATAGATCAATATTACTGACTTTTTGACAGTAATATTGTAATATTGATCTATAATCCCCTAATGTACAACATTTAGGGGTTTATTTTCCAGTACTGACATTTTTTTGCTACATTCGATTTTAAAGGTTTGGGAATAACCTTCATATGTCTAGCAGCTAATATTTACTACTGTTTTTAAAGGGACACTATAGTCACCAGAACAACTACAGCTTATTGAATTTGTTCTGGTGAGTAGAATCATTACCTTCAGGCTTTTTGCTATAAACATTGCTTGTTTCAGAGAAAATGCAGTGTTTACATTACAGCCTAGTGATAACTTCACTGGCCACTCCTCAGATGGCTGTTAGAGATCCTTCCTGGGTCATGGCTGCCTAAAATGCATCCTGTGATTCAGTATCTCCTCCCTCTGCATGCAGACACTGAACTTTTCTGATAGAGATTCATTGATTCAATTCATCTCTATGAGGAGATGCTGATTGGCCAGGGCTGTGTTTGAATTGTGCTGGCTCTGCCCCTGATCTGCCTCTTTGTCGGTCTCAGCCAATCCTATGGGGAAACACTGTAATTGGATCAGGCTACCACTTCTGATGATGTCATCAGACAAGTTTTGACTATTGACTATTCTGAGTCAAACAGCATGCAGAGCTACAGCTTCAGGCTTGAATAAAAGCAAGATTTTGCTATTTTTAGGGAGGCATGAGGGGCCCAGGGAGGCTAGATGGTGGTTTTAACACTATAGGGAATTAGGCAAGTTTGTGTTCCTGACCCTATACCGTGTTTCTCCGAAAATAAGACCGGGTCTTATATTAATTTTAGTCACAAAAAACACACTAGGGCTTATTTTCAGGGTAGGGCTTATTTATTTACGGTACCGGTATGTACATTGAACAATATTTAAACAACTTTTCTAATTAATCCACCCCCTTTAATAAATCCACCCCCCTTTAATTAATCCACCCCCCTTTAATTAATTCACCCCCTCTAATTAATCCAGCCCACCCTTTAATTAATTCACCCCCTTTAATTAATTCACCCCCCTCTAATTAATCCAGCCCACCCTTTAATTAATTCACCCCCTCTAATTAATTCACCACCCCTTTAATTAATTCACCACCCCTTTAATTAATTCACCCCCTCTAATTAACCAGCCCACCCTTTAATTAATTCACCACCCCTTTAATTAATTCACCCCCCTCTAATTAACCAGCCCACCCTTTAATTAATTCACCCCCCCTTTAATTCACCCCCCCTTTAATTCACCCCCCCCACCCCCTTTAATTAATTCAATTAATCCCAGACATAAAATATACTCACATTTCAAGGATTCCACTGGGAGCCTCACCGCCCGGAAATGGATCCTTCCGCTGAAGATCCGTGAAGGCAGACTGACGGCGCTGCAAAATGGCGTCATCACGTTGCGCGACGCTCCTCCTACAGCAGAAGAAGGAAGTCTCGCCGCAAAGGTACAATGCCTAGGTCTTATTTTCGGGGTAGGGCTTATATTGCAGCCCACCCCGAAAATCCGACTAGGGCTTATTTTCGGGGTAGGGTTTATTTTAGGGGAAACACGGTAGTGATCCTTTAAATTAATGTTTTGATTTTATTTGCACATATTTTCTTGCACTTTTTTTATTGTATTTTTATTAGGTTTAGTTTTGTGATTCAATGATAAAATATTCAGTCTGTCTTTTTCCAAAATGTACATTTTTATCAGGGAGACTTACAAAGGGTTTTTGATCTTAGTATGAATTTAACCTGTTAAACAATTCTGAGGATACAGTGACACGTGTGGGTGCAACAATGTTAGGGGTGGTACGATGGGCTCTGGGATCTTGTCAACCACCTCCATAGGTTCAAACCGTCTGGACCAAGGATCTGCTTTGGTACTACGATACTCGGGTCTGTAAGTGATCACAAAATTATAACATGAGAAGAATAATAACCAATGAGCCTGTCTAGAAGATAGATGCTTGACTTCGGAAATATGAGATTGATTTTTGTGGTCTGTTAATACCATACTCCTACTCCTAATCTAACCACTAACCCTACCCCTAACTCTACTAGGGTTAGGAGTAGGGTTAAGGTTGGGGTTAGGTTAGATTCCTGTCATCATTCCCTTAATTTTCCCTCCCTCTCCTGTTTTGTCATTTTTCAGAAATCCGAAAGCACTTTGGCACTTCCGAAAGGTGGTACTTTGGTTCGGCCCATCCGAAATTCGGCACTTCCGAAATTTGGCACTTAGGAAGCATCTGAATGTCCGAATTGCCGAAATTCATCCAAAACCGCAACGAATTGCACATGTCTTGGATCCATGCTAAACCAGGTTTCAGATATCACATATCCCAGGAATTGAACTGCCTTTTGGTCAAAGAGGCATTTCTCTAATTTACAGTACCACTCATTGTTTAGGAGCCTAGTCTATACCATTCTGACCTTTTGGTGATGAGAGTGGAGGTCAGAAGAATGAATCAAAATATCATCCAGATATATTCTTGCACATATGGGTAGTATATCACGTAGTACATAATTGATATGGTCCTGGAAAACTGCCAGAGCACTACATAGTCCAAATGGCATGACTAAATATTTGTAATGCCCGCTACGAGTATTAAAGGCAGTCTTCCACTCATCTCCTTCTCTTATTCTCACTAAGTTATAAGCCCCTCTCAGATGACATTTAATGAAAATCTTTGAACCTTTAAGGTGATCAAATGACTCAATGAACGATCTCAAATCCCTCTCTTTTTTCAAGACACAAAAGAATCCCGCTCCAGATGGAGACAAAGATCTTTTTATGAAATCCTTAGTCAGTGATTCCCTTATATATCTCTTCATGATCTAATTTTCCTTTACTGAGAGCGGATAGGCTCTTCCTTTAGGTGGCATAGTGTCGGAAAGTAGACCTATCGCACAATTGTAAGGTTGATGCGGAGGTAACCTACCAGCCTCTTTCTTGTCAAATACTTCCCATACATCAGCATACTGTGGAGGAATGGAAGTGGACCAAGGACCAGCTGTAGGAAAATTTAGAATGTTAACAGGATGCACTGGTGTAAGGTATTTCTCATGACACCCTTTGCCCTCATGACATCATGTTGTGCCAGCCAAGGGAAACCTAACACCATAGCTCAAGAGGGAGAAGACAATAATTTGAAAAATTTCTAATTATATTTTAGATGTGAAATGCTCTTAGAGACATGCGCAATTCTTGTGTCTCATGTAATTTGTGGTTCAGATAATGTTCTACCATGTATGGCCTCAACGGCCAAGGGGGTTGCTTTTTGGATAAGAGGTAAAGTGGAAGAACTGACAAAATGATGATCAGTAAAGTTTTCTGCTACCCCTGAATCAATTAAGGCATTGGAAGATATAGTATTAGAATTGACATTTTTTAAGACTGGTAGAATTTTTCTAAGTGCTGATGAAGTAACCTGTAAACCCTGCGACTTGCGAGCGTTCAGCGTCGCAGAGAATGCAGGGGGAGTCAGAGGAGAGGTCAGTGATCCTGACACTCGCACATTGGCAGGTTAGGCGCCTGTCTACCCAATTATGGGTTGCCTACTCTGCCCAAATATACCTGGTAGTGGTAGCAGCGGTGGTGAGGGAGCAATGTACTTTCTGTACTCTTCCTGCACAGCTCCCTCACACAGCGGGCAGTGATGTGAGCTGGGCTCTGGGTGTAAGCCCTCTGGGAAGAGCACAGAGAACCCAGCAGCTCCCACTATCCACCGCGTAGGGCTGGGGTCCTCAAACTCCTGCCACCAGATGTTGCAGAACTACAACTCCCACGATTCTTTGAATTACGTAGATAGCCAGAGAATCATGGGAGTTGTAGTTCAGCAACATCTGGAGTGGCGGAGTTTGAGGACCAAGGTAGGAAGGCTGGATTTATCCCTTAAGGAAGGAAATAAATAAAAGGCATGTTTGTGTGAGTGTGTCTGTATGAATAGTGTGCATCTCTCACAGCTACCCTAGTGATTAATTGGAGAATTGCACATTTTACACAAAATTCCTGGTGTGAAAATTACTGGGGACATTTATTAGTTCACTTTGGACCTAAATTACAATTCTCAGGTCACTTCCTGGCTTAGTGAATAACACTGACAGTCTCTCTGACAGGATTACAGTGTTCACACTAGTCCTATATCTGTGTTACTGTAACAGTGATAACAGTACACAGCACACACACACACACACACACACACTCACACACTGCACATCCACTGCACACACAGCGCACACTGCACCCAGCACCCACACACTGCACCCACACACACTGCACCCAGCACCCACACTCTGCACCCAGCACACACACACAAACAAACTCACTCACTCACTCACTCACTCACTCACTCACTCACTCACTCACTCACTCACTCACTCACTCACTCACTCACTCACTCACTCACTCACGCAGCCAAATCACCAGTGACGCAGTTTACAGCCCGGCTGAGAGAACAAGTGCAGGGAACTCCGCCTACAAGAAGTCTCATTGGCTGGAACCCCTGTCAGTAAGCCATGGGAACCCGCCTACCTACGCTGTCCAGATTGTTTATTGGCTGCGGCGGCTGTCAGCTGCGCGTGCTGGACCCGCCCCCCCTAGAACTCTTTTTTTTTTTTTACTCCAGCGGGGTCAATGCCCTGGTAATTCCTGATTGGCTGCTAGAGCCTGGGAACTCACAGACCCGTGCCCGGGGGCGGGGTCAGTGCCGGAAGTGACGCGTGCGTTCCCGGAAGAGAGGGTCGAAGTTGTTGTAGAGAAGAGTTTTGTGGAGGAAGATACGCAGGGAAGGCGCCCGGGGAACCAGTATAGGTAATAACACGGGCCGGGGATACAAACAATGGGTCAGGGAAAGGAGGGAGGGCCTCAGTGTGGGGGAAGGAGAGTCTGGGATGTAGCAGGCAGGTAACAGATTGGGGGATGGGGGGACACAGAGAGGGGGATGGAGTGACAGAGAGGAGCATATGGGGACAACAGAGGGGCATGGGGTGACAGGTTAGTATATGGGGCAACAGAGGGGCACACGACAGGTTAGTATATATGGGGCAACAGAGGGGCATGGGGTGACAGGTTAGGATATCCAACAGAGGGGCATGGGGTGACAGATTAGGATATGGGGGCAACAGAGAGGGGCATGGGGTGACAGATTAGTATATAGGGGCAACAGAGGGCATGGGGTGACAGATTAGTATATGGGGGGCAACAGAGGGGCATGGGGTGACAGATTAGGATATGGGGGCAACAGCATGGGGTGACAGGTTAGGATATGGGGCAACAGAGGGGCATGGGGTGACAGATTAGGATATGGGGGCAACAGAGAGGGGCATGGGGTGACAGGTTAGGATATGGGGGCAACAGAGGGGCATGGGGTGACAGATTAGGATATGGGGGCAACAGAGAGGGGCATGGGGGGACAAAGGCACCTGTGGTGACAGCAGATTAGGACATACGGTAAACAGCGAGAGGGGCATGGGGTGACAGAGAGGGGCATGGAGTGACAGGCACCTGTGGTGACAGATTAGGACATACGATAAACAGAGAGAGGGGCATGGGGTGACAGAGAGGCACCTGCAGTGACCGACTGGGATCTAGGATGACAGATTAGGACATGTGGTAAACAGAGGGAGGAATGGGTGACAGAAAGGGTCATTTGAAATGGATGTTAGGGCTTCCAGATCCAGCATGTTTCACTGAGCACCTGTGTGTGTGTGTAGATAAACCGTTTGTGTAATCCCAGCCTTGCAAGGCATTCAGCCGTGAGAAATAGTGAAGCAAATAAAGTCTGTGGGCACCAGGGCTACTCTTTATGTGCTGCCTACTACCTACATCATGAAATGGGGTGTCTAGTAAAATTGTTTGATTATTGGCAAGCTTAGTAGTGAGTGTATCTAGTACAAGGTCAAGGCATAAGATATTTCAAAGAGACCAGGTAAGATTATAGGATCCTGGATATAATAAACCTAGGAAGGCTTTAAAAAATAGATAAGAGAAAGCATTTGCAGATATGTAGCTGGGCAATGAGCAGTAGGAATAAAAGGTCAGGAGAGGAGATAAGTGAATATGGAAAATGTCAGATACAAGAGGAGAGAAAGTTAGGGAGTTGCAGGTTTACAAGGAGAAATCTTCCTAAATTACTGCAGACCGCTATGAGGAGAGTGACAGCTAGCTTAATAGGAAGCAGGCTAGACCTGAATGTGGGCCGTGTTGTATAAGATGAAAAAGACAGTGAGGACAATTTACGCGAAAGTGAAACAGTCATAAGTGTGAGGATAGGGTGTTCTTAGAAGGAGTATGAGAAAATATATTGTCTGATGACTGGCAAGGCATTGGCAATCAAAGGCATAAGATGATGTTACCAGGCAGCTAATGTGCCAGAAGGGGGGAAAAGTAACAGGTATAAGTAAAGATACATGGCATCATAAGAAGTTGCAGAGTGGGTAGCCAATTGTGCTAAATGTTTCATAGATTTGTATTAATCAATTTACATACTTTTTTTTTTTTTTTATAAATAAATATAACAAACTCTGTGTACTGAAAGGTCATGGTATGAGGTAGCTATAGAAAAATATATATTGTGATGGTTGGTTTAAATAAAATGGCTATTCAGCATAACTATTGTGAAATCTATGTCCGTTTAATCAGGGGAGCATTAAGTGTATCTGAAGTATTTGTCAATTCCTTTAACCTGTTATGTTGCTACTTCCACTGAAAGATTATTTCAGGCACGGAAGTATTTGTTTAACCCCTTAGGGACCAATGGCAGTCTGTGCCATCATATTATTTTGTTTTTTAAGATTCCTATTCCAACATGAAATGTTCCATGGAATTTGTGACTGCAAGGATTCGTGGAGTTGCCAGTACTACAAAAACATAAACTTTGGTGCTGGTGTAATGACAAGCTATAACATTCAGTCCTCAGGGGTTTTATGAAACCCCTGAAAATGTTTCCTCCTTCATCTTTTTAGTATCTTAGCACATTAGAACGGTTTTCTTGTCTTTCCTGGTGCACATGCTAATGTTACGAAGCATTTCCTGGTAATTTCTTATTTGTTCGTTAGACAAGATCATTTATTGCCCCTTATTTTAATTGTCACTATATGATCTATGACCATTTAAAGCCACAGCCCCCAGAACTGAACACTTGTAAGAGTTATACATTAATGTCTTGCTCTAAAGTACTAAAAGTGAAGCAGTTTCCATGGAAACCATTGCAGCCTGCTTCGCTTTCAGAACATTCTTTTTACATAACCCTAAATCTTTCAAATGAGAATTAACCCTTAACTGATCAAGGTTTATGTACAAATTTTGGTTCAACTATTGTAGTCTATGTACAGTCAAGCATTCTGTAGTTTGGCTTTAAATAATAGTTATGCCTCAAGTATGTCTTGGCAAAAAATAAATAAAAAATAAGTAGTAGATAGTCATGTTAAGTCCACATTTGTGTCCAAAAACTTTTTGTTTTGTTATACTTTAGATTTTTAACACCACTGCATTTTTTTTAATCATTTGACTTGATATTCTTGGTGAGTAAGCTTTATCACAAATGAATGTGTCATCAGGGAAAAGGCATAACTTCCCTTGAATTTTACTTGCATTACCAGTCATTTAAACATTTTATTGAATAGTCACCCAGCCATGACTTTGTACCAACAGGAAATATTTGTGGGAAATGTTTAGCAAGGGTTTCATGACAAGTGGAAGGCTTGTCATGACTGTGAAGTTATGATGTGTTTGCCACGACTAAGATAAAGTGAACTTGGTTTGGGGCATGATGATCTGTTACCTGGCCTATTTTCTCTAAGGGATTCAAAAGGGTAAATTTATGAGGCAGAGAGGATATTTTATACTGAATTGCTTGGAGAGAGGCTGGTATGATAATGCTGATGGACTCTCAGATTGAAGAACATGGAATATTATGAGGCTGAACTGTAGCCGTATGGCTTTTATTTGTCCAAATATAACTGTTTCAACCAAACCTTAGCTATTTTACTATTTACAAAAGGCAACATTGGGTATTTCATCTGTATTTACCCTTCAGTTCGGCTGGCGTTTAGTTTGGTGGTAATAAGAGTATCTACATATTTGATTCGGCTCTTTAAAAAAAATCCCTTAATTAATTTTACTTCAGACTAGGAAAGTGCTTCCTTAACCTTAAAGGGATACTTTAGTAACCAAAACAACTGGATAGCTTAATTAAGCAGTTTTGGTGTATAGATCACGTCCCTGCAGTCTTATTGTTTAATTCTCTGCCATTTAGAAGTTAAATGACTTTTGTTTCTGTTTATGCAGCCCTGGCTGTGACTTACACAGCCTGCAGGATAAAAATGATGGTTTCATTTTTAATCAGATGTATCTTACTTTAAATTTTTTATTTATTTATTTTTAAATCTCCTGCTCTGTAACTTGAACTTTAATTACATACAGGAGACTCCTGCAGGGTCTAGCAAGCTATTAACAGAATAGAAGATAAGAAATTCTTAATTAAACAGACTGTGCAGTAAAGTAAGTGTAGTTGTAGTTTAATGTAGTTGTTCTGGTGAGTAAAGTCAGTCCCTGCATGCTTTTTGCAGTAAACACTGTCTTTTCGAAGAAAAGGCAGTGTTTACATTTCAGTCTAGTGACACCTCCAGTGGCCACTCCACAGTTGGCTATTAGAGGTGCTTTCTGGGGCAGTGCTGTACACTAATTAGCACTGACATTGTCTCCACCCTCTCCATGGAGACACTGAACTTTACTCAAAGAGATGCATTGATTCAATGCATCTCCTCATAGAGGGTGGCTTTTGGCTCCGTCCCTGTCATTGTGTGTGTGCGCGCGTGTCTGTTTAGGTAACTGGGCCCCCCTCCTGTGCTTTTACTTTTTTTTTTTTTTCTTCCCAATGCCGTACTGGTATTGTCGTATTGTAGATGATGAAGCTTGATGATTTCAGCCACTCCAATACTTTTCCATAGGAAAGCATTGTGAGGCTACTGCGCATGCTCACAATGCTGCACCAATCATCATTTACTCATAGAGATGCATTGAATCAATACATGTGTATGGGGAACGTTCAGTTAAGATATGAAGCACCTTCAGTGGCCATCTGAGAGAGGGCCACTAGAGGTATTACTAGGCAGCAATGTAAACACTGCCTTTTATATGAAAAGGCAGCGTTTACATTGAAATACCTGCAGGGACAGGCTATAGACAATAGAACTTTAATCTGTAGTGGTGCTGATGACTTTAGTGTTCCATTTAGAATTATATTTCTTGTTGTTTAAATATAAGCTTTGTTAGTTCAAAAAACAAACAAACCCTGGCTCATAGATTCAAAGATAATTTGTCAACCTTGATTTACCAATATTACCGATTCATACTACATTGTCCCATTAGGTAGATTTCACAATGAGTTTATTTACTTCTATACAACTGCTTCGGTGATATTTCTATTAGGCTGTCATTTCCACTCTGATGATCTGGGATCTATCATTCGGTATGTGTGTTTAAGTAGTAGTACATGTTAGAATGTCACTGTATTGTATTCCTGCATGTAGATTCTTAAGGAGTTACTCCAAGACCATGGCTACGTCATAACTTTACCGCAAGCAGCGTCATTAGTCTGTTTAGAACAAGAGCTCTGGGCTGGCTAATGTCAGTTCTGTGCAAAGAGTTAAATTGATGGCAGAAAGAGATCAGCATATGCTCTCGGCCAATGAATGGCAAGTGGGATCGACTGCAGAAGCTGGATGCCTGTCATTGGCCATAGCGTACCATCTATGCTAAACTAGGACCCAGGTAAGAAATGGGGCCAGGGTACACCTGGCATCATAACCACTACAGTAGTTGGAGTAATCCTTTAAGCCATTCTGCTCACTAATCCTAGCCGTCACATACAGTTCACTATTTATGAAAATCTCATAATCCTTTGGGGTTTAATTTAGGGAAATCCATTTCATTTACAGGGTTCTTAACTAAAATGAGAATTGCAGGGAATTCAAGGTTTAATGTCAAATAGCTGAACTGGAAACATTCTCCTAGTCCGCCATGCTTTCAATTCGGCTACTTTGTCCTTTAATTTGGAATAAGTTTGAAATTAATTTTGAATTCCCTGCAATTCTCACTTTTAGTGGCTATCCCTGTTAGTGCTAGATTCTACATTTTGTGCGAGAGTGTTCTGCCTGTGTTATTGATTCAGTGTATTGAAGGACCTACTTGGAACACAAGGGTCAACCAACAAGCATAATCAGCAAAGACCGGTTCCCTTATTCTTCTTGCAAAGCATTACACAAGGCATTCTAAGAAAGTGGGGAAGCACACTCCGTAGCATTCTGTCAACAAGAAACTTTTTAAAATGCATATTAAACACCACTAAACAATAGACCTACTTTGTAAATATGTGTTGATGTAAGCAGCATTGGACATCAGAAAACAAAATGTCTCAGTCTCATTAGTTCCCCCTCTGTCAGCATCTCATATTTTAAACTCAAAAAACGTCAGTCCCTGATGTTTCATTTCCCCTGTTTTTAATTCCCTAATTGTTGTTTGGACGTGTTTTGCAGTATGAACTGTAACTTCTTTTCCGGCAAGCTGCAGGTGCTCATTGGGAAGAGGTGCACACACTCGACATTTTGTTGTGCAATAAGGAAATAATAAAGTTTGAATATGTGCAAAGTTGATAAAAGACCGATTTGTTAACTGGTCAGTGAGTTAATTCAGAATTGCAGGAAATAGACCCTGCCCCCTCCCCCTCCAAAAAAATGAATTAACTTATGGCAGCATACCACAAGTGGCTCTGTCACCTCAAATGTTCCTTTCTCCTATTGTTTCCTCTTCTCTTGTTCTTTTTTTCTCTCTCTTTATTTCTGGTCTAGTAGTCACTATTTTGTTTTTATATAGTTTCCCTACATTTGGTAATCTTGACAAAAGGTGGAGCTTAAGGAAAGTTTCATCCTTTGTTAGCTGGATAAAGGAAGTGGAGCTTCCCTTAAGCTCCACCCTTTTGTCACGTTTTGTCAGGCACAGGAGAAATACATACAACAAAGTAGTAGCTACTTTGCAGCGCTGATCCAGGAAGCACCACTAGATGTGTTCCTAGGTAGTAATGTAAACATTCTATGAAAAGGCCGTGTTTACATTAAAATTCTTTCAGACATGCTGTAGGCTCCAGAAGAACTGCATTACGCTGTAGTTGTTTTGGTGACTAGTGTCCCTTTAACAGTTACCTAGATGTTACTGAATTTCAGCTGGCAATTTTCGGCTGCAGCCATTGGTCTTCCAAATTATGTCAGAGGATAACTGGAATTATAGTTGTCCAATAGATAGCAGATTATGCTTGGCTGTTCCTGCTTTAGACTTTCAGTGGTTTAACCCTCTAGCTGTCAGAAATTTGCATTGTGTCACATGTCCATCAGGCATATGGACTGTGCAGATTTAAAGGTTAGATGGATCACAATAGCTTAAACTTTTTGTTGCACTCCTGCATACGACTGCTGCTTCTTCAGCAGAAAGATCTTGCCAGCCTAGGTTATTGCCATATTGCTGCTGATTGCTCCTGTATAATTATTTTCGGTTTGGGATGGATTTTTGCTTTTGATTGTCTGTTCAATAGTTTATCATTCACTTTAATGATGGGGATTTATAAACAATAGAATTTTTTTTTTTTTCTTGCTCTCTCCTTTTTGGGAGGGTCATAAAGGGTTGATGACCTGATTATCATTACACAATTTATCTGGTTTAGAGATTATTAGTAGAGCACAACTTTCACATTCCAGAATAATGCTATCTGGTAGACTTGTGCAGAAATTAGTTTGTCATGGGTCCTCCAAGCCTTTTAACCCACACCTGAACCAATTGATCCTTACAGGATTTACCTCACTCGTTCAGGTGTAGATTAAAAACCATTGGATTCGGGCAAACCACACCAAACTAATTTTTTGCATAATTGTATAATCTGGTACTTTTTTGTATTCCCTTCAGAAAATTAAGTTAGCTCTTCTATATCCATCATGTTTTTCTGAACTCCTGTCATGTCTTTGCTGATGGGCAGTACATGAAAAGGGTTGCCTTGTGGTATTGAGCTCTTATCCAACAAGATAGAATTCGGTCTTCAAAGAATCCAATAGGGTCTACATATGCTGCCATAAGCATGTTGAAACAAAATTTTTTTTTTAGGGTATTTTTTCTTCATTTGTTTTACTTCAATTTGGCTTTACAAAGAACATTTTCACTGTTGATTTCAAAATTGAGATTTATTGTACTTATCTGTGCAGCCCCGTATCCAGTGGGAGAGACATTCCCACAGGGAGCTGACAGCGGCCATATACCCACTGGGTGAAGCAAAGTTTCTCAGGGAGCTGACAGCGGCCCTATACCCACTGGGTGAAGCAAAGTTTCTCAGGGAGCTGACAGCGGCCCTATACCCACTGGGTGAAGCAAAGTTTCCCAGGGAGCTGACAGCGACCTTATACCTACTGGGGGAAGCAGAGTTTCCCAGGGAGCTGACAGCGGCCCTATACCCACTGGGTAAAGCAAAGTTTCCCAGGGAGCTGACAGCAGCCCTATACCAACTGGGTGAAGCAAAGAGTCAAAGGGAGCTGACAGCGGCCCTATACCCACTGGGGGATGCAGAATTTCCCAGGGAGCTGACAGCGGCCCTATACCCACTGGGTGAAGCAAAGTTTCCCAGGGAGCTGACAGCAGCCCTATACCCACTGGGTGAAGCAAAGTTTCCCAGGTTGCTGACAGCGGCCCTATACCCACTGGGGGATGCAGAATTTCCCAGGGAGCTGACAGCAGCCCCATACCCACTGGGTGAAGCAAAGTTTCCCAGGGAGCTGACAGCGGCCCTATACCCACTGGGGGATGCAAAGTTTCCCAGGGAGCTGACAGCGGCCCTATACCCACTGGGTGAAGCAAAGTTTCCCAGGGAGCTGACAGCGGCCCTATACCCACTGGGTAAAGCAAAGTTTCCCAGGGAGCTGACAGCAGCCCTATACCCACTGGGTGAAGCAAAGTTTCCCAGGTTGCTGACAGCGGCCCTATACCCACTGGGTGAAGCAAGGTTTCTCAGGGAGCTGACAGCGGCCCTATACCAACTGGGGGAAGCAGAGTTTCCCAGGGAGCTGACAGCGGCCCTATACCCACTGGGTGAAGCAAAGTTTCCCAGGGAGCTGACAGCGGCCCTATACCCACTGGGTGAAGCAAAGTTTCCCAGGGAGCTGACAGCGGCCCTATACCCACTGGGTGAAGCAAAGTTTCCCAGGGAGCTGACAGCGGCCCTATACCCACTGGGTGAAGCAAAGTTTCCCAGGGAGCTGACAGCGGCCCTATACCCACTGGGTGAAGCAAAGTTTCCAGGGAGCTGACAGCGGCCCTATACCCACTGGGTGAAGCAAAGTTTCCCAGGGAGCGGAGAGCAACCTCCGTACTCAATGGGTGAAGCAAATTCCTACAGGGAGAGAATAGCAAACCCGTATCCAGTGAGTGAAGCAAAGCTCCACAGGGAGCTGACAGACAAGATTTGTTGCTTTTAACTATGTAGACGGTTTGTGATTTAGTTCTATGTGGTAATTTATTATTCAGCTACTAGAAAAATGTATATTTCCTAATTGAATCCAGTCCTGCAGTCTGTGGGATAATTGTTACTAACTTGCTAGAGTAAAGTATCCCTGCTAATGGAATTCAACATTTTTGTTGGTAAAGCTGGGTATATTATGGTATTTTGCAAGCATCCCACTTTTAAATAATTCTTTCACATTAAACCGAGATTTTGATTGTGAGCAGGATGTGCTTACATTTGTTCACATTTTAGATATTCTCATTAACATAATTTATCTCTTGTGATTAGAACACACACTTACCAGCATGCACCTGGCACCCTCTTCCTGCAGTCAGACCCTCTTCTGCACTAGAAGGAATCTATCATTCTATAACCCACTGCCTAGCAGAGCTTTATGGAATAAGTAGTTTATCACCAAGAGAAATCCAACTCATTGCTTAGGAAGGGAGCCAGCAGCTATTCTGCAGGTGCTATCTGTCTACATATAGCCCAGGACACTGTTTAGTGAAACCGGCTAAGCTCTTGGTGGAGCTGCATGGTCTGTGTCTCGGCTACATCTCGTAGAAAGAGAGAGTTTAGAGAAGACTAAAAGGGATACTGTAGTGCCAGGAATACAAAGTTGTACTTTATGTATTTAAATGTTTCTATCATATCCTCCCTGTCTCGTCTTTACTCCAAGCTATACATGGTAAGATCCTTTTAACTTTTCTTTGTAAGTTTTATCCTGCAATCCATGAACCAGTTTAGTAGCCCTTCTCTAAACTCTCTCCAAAGTATCAAAATCCTTCTGGAGATACGGTCTCCAGTACTGCGTTCAATTCTACAAATGAGGTCTCACCAGTGTTCTGTACAATGGCAAGGGACACAGCACCCAGACCACTACAATTAGCTGAAGTGGTCTGGGTGCCTCCAGTATCTCTTTAAATAAAGGCTGATTTGCTGGAGGTGGAGCAAATGTCGGATATTAGGAGCAGACTAAGTTTCAAGCAGAAATGCTGCGTAGACTGGGTCGTTGCAACGTAACGGCTTCAGGAGGCTGAGATGGTGATGGTACTAAATATTTAATTTGCTTCCTAATTGTCTGAACACTGCTTGGACTAAGATAAAATTACAGGCCTATAGGGAGATGCACCCACCAGAAACTATTGCATTCTTATATGTGCAGCCGATGGCTAAGACAGATCTGTTACAAATCCTATATCTTGAATACCGGTGTCTTTCTTTGTGTGTCTGTTTGACTCCATTATGCTATTTGAGAAATAGAAAGTTTGCCTTATAAACCTTTATGAATATCTATTTGGCTTTCTGTATGCCTCTCTTGCAGTCACAGGCTCTTTGTGGCTCTCTTTCTGTAGACAAATAGTGTCTTTCAGTGCACTATCCCTATAGAGCAGAATAGAAAGCCCAATGTGTTTACAGAGTGAGTAGAACAGTATTTTGTCTGAATTTCACAAGGCATTTTCTCACAGTTGAACAAAAATCTTCTGTGATGTCATCGATGTGCAGTTACACAGACATGATTCATTCCCTTACTACGGATCTTGTATTCTAAAGGAGCACAAGGTAAAAAATAAATATATATTTTATCCTTGTATTGCTGTATTCGTTATGGGTCCTCCCTTTTAAAATGAGAAAAATAAAGCTAAGAAAATACCAAGAATAAAACTTAACCTGCAATTCAGTGCTGATAGTCTTCTTGCTGCAGCCCACGTTGTTTCTTCTGAGATCATCATGATGGATAGACAAGCATTGGAAAGCAACGGCATGTGTGCGATACTCACCGTGCTCAGCCTATCCAATGCTTCTCATGCTGTGTGTGATGTATGAGAAAATGAATGCAGTGGTTTGGGTACATTGGTTGTGTCATTTTACAAACTGCAATATTTGCATTTCATGGTTACATCCACCTTTGGTGGCTCCCTTCCTTACAGCCACTAGAGGTGATTCCACCTCCAGACCGAATAAAACTCCATGTGATTGGAGGAGTGCATTTGTCTGTGCATGTGCATCTCCAATCCATTGCTTTTCCATGAGAAGCAATGGATGGGAGATCACAGTTGATTTCAGCATGGATGCTGACATCACCAGAGGCAGAGCTGGAGGCTTCAGCAGGGGAGTCCCTGGGCTGGAAAGAAGGGAGTGGACAGAAGGAAACCTATCCCCAAATAGCAATTGACACTGACCAAGGAAACAATTTTGTAGTTATTGTTTTTCTTTAACGCTTACACCAAATCACTTCAAACTTTTCTCACTGTTATGAGGTATCACATCTTCTCCTCTGATACACATATTTACAATTTAGTTGTTCTCCCTCTCTGCTACTTACCACTAATTCTTTACACTCTATAGTACATTTTTGGGCGATGCACTGCTTACATTTTAAAGGCTATGATGGCATCAGACTATTTGCTATTATGGTTTACTTTACAAATCCTTGATTGCTACAGCACAAATTGTCTAGGGGGTCATTTTAGCTCATGTGCAGGTTATGTAACTGTACCAGTCGTCTATTGAATGAGGGAATCAACTGCCCCATGCTTGATCTGGACTTTGATCACTGTCTGTCAGACACATATTGTGTATGTTGTGCAATGGACTGCACCCGGAAATAGGTCATGAGGGTAAGCTGCAGTGGTTAATTGGAGGAAGTCTGTATAGGTTACCATAGGTCATGGCTGTGATTTATTAGATAGATATAGATATATATATATAATATATTTGTAGCAGGTGTGTGAATTTGCATTGTCGCATCCAATACTGTTTGGGCACTAAAGGGACTTAGACAGCAAAACACTGCACAGGGTGTGTAAACTAGAGAAAACTAAGTTTAACTGTAATAGGAAAGCATTAGTTCAGTGTTTTTATTTTTTTTTATTTTTTTTGAAGGGCTGCATAGAACATAATTTTACTGTTGGAACCTTCTTACACATGACCGTTCTTTTGAAGCAAAATTGTTGCCATTCTCAGAATCCATCTCTCCTCTACTGAATCTGTCCTGTTTACCCACAAGGACATTAATGTTAATTTTATTATACTTGCAAGCTCGAGTCAAAAAGGGGGCAAAAAAACCACCAAAACCCTTAAATGATGCAGTCCTTTTGAAACCTTAAAGGAGCAGTGTTAAGATTTAATTTTTTTTTCTTTATGACCCTTATACTCGTTATTTGACTTTATATTCATCCCTTTATCTTTTCTTCTCTGTACTGGATCTCAGTACTTGGATTTCTCTCCTTCTGATTGATGGATTGTGGGTAAATTACCTTGGCAACTGACATGCAACTTTGCCTGATCTCTTCCAGTTGTCAAATATTGCTGAATATTACACTCCCCATTAGAAAAGCAATGCATACGTTTACTTATGTGTAACTAAAAAATTGAATCTCAAAAAAGTAAAAACAAAAAAATGATTATTTTAAAAACGAAACGTGCAAAGTGACTGTGCTGCTTTAAGGCAGTTCAGAGTAGGACCTTAGTTACAGCTATCTTAGCTACACCCTCTAAGGGGGCCATATTTCTCACTGTATTTTATGTTGTGTCTGTTTATTTAGGTAGGTCAAGATGACCGTTTGTTCAAAAATCGGCAGGAATTTTGTTTTCATACAAAGTTGTTCAACAAATAATTTGAGCCATATCTTTAGTCAGAAGAGAAAACTGTCATGAACTTGTATTGTGGGAGAGGGACCTGTACCAGGTTGTTGCTGGTAATTTGTGGAGCTTTCCTCCAGTTAGAAATGATCAATAAATCCACTGCTTTCTACATACTTGTTAGTCAAGGTCTATTCTACAATGTTTTAAATAAAAACTTGCTGTGGGGTCGGTGAAAGCGGATTCCTGGCACAATAACCATTACAGCGGGCTGTAGTACTTATGTTGCTTAGAGTGCCCCTTAAAACACTTAAAAGTAGACTTCAAGTACCATAACCACTACTGTGCACTGTTATAGGTAGAGTGCCAGAAGTGCCCTTTGAGGACAAGTAGTGTGACGATTTGTGGCACCCTGCAATGTATAGAAAGTTTTATTGGCTGAGTTCTCTTAGCCAATGATCTCAGCCCTGTACTACAGTGCTAGCCCAGTACAGCATTGGCCAGCTTCTGGCTCTCATTGAGAAACTAGCCAATGCCCGGCGGATCTCGGGTAACTTGGCAAACCGTTTTCAAACGGTTTGCCTAACTTCCCTGGCAGAGTGTTATGGCATTGGCACTAGTGTGCTGTAGTGGTTATGGTATTTGAAGGGTTCTTTTAATATTGGTTTCTCAATTAGTTGGTAGTATTCCAGTGACAGAACAAGTTATATTACTGAGTGGACTGCTTAAAGAAATGTAAAAATGGTTGTCTGCTAAGTATTTTTGTAAGTTTAAATATCTTTAACCATCCTTTGCTTTGCTGTCTTTGAAATACAATAACTGAAATACTAAACATTAATTTTTTTAAAAAAAGTGTAAATTAATGAACTTGTACATGTGTACTTATTGGAACACTTTAGTGTTGGAAAGACATAGATGTTGGTATCCCTCTGCCCCATCCCATTTATGAAATGGTTTAAAAAAAAATCAAAAAAAAAAAATCCTTTTAAACCTTTAACTGATTCCCCTCGACATTGGTTTGCACTTTTACTCTGCCAACATCAGCCGATGGGGGAAACCTAATGCGCATGTGCGGTGGGTCAGCGTCGTTTCATGGATTCAAAATCCGTGAAACTCCTGGAATTGCCTCTAGTAGCTCTTTGGCAGAGGCAGTTTTAGCCCTGCAATGTAAACATTGCATTTTCTCTGAAACTACTTTGCAGCGCTAAAGGGGAGATGAAGTGGTCTGGTTGCGTATAGTGTCCCTTTAAGTGAGGGCACATAAAATATAGAAAAAAGAACAAGAGAAATAGCATTACTTTTTCACCACGATATCTTAAAGCATACAAGCATAGATGCAGGTGTGCACTCTCATATACTAGAGCAAGACAAGTGTACATTCTCATGTTCAGTCTTATAGAAATGCTAAATGGCCAATATGGATATGCATTGGAGAATATTTATCAAAGTGACAGTTAAATTGTGTCATTAGTTTGATTGTATTTATTAGAGTTCTAAAAATAGTTTTCTTCACATTACATTTGTCATAATTGAAATAGAATTGTTAGACATTGCATTGCTATAAAAAATGGCATTTATATAAAAATAAAAATGGATATGGAGCAAAATAAGCAACAGGTGGGGGGGGGGGAGCGGGAAGGAGGGGAGATGACGACCGCTTTAATTGTGCCACAAAGAAACCTACAATTAGAAGAAAATGTTTTCTCAACACTTAAATGTAAATGTCCCCCAATATTATCAATGTGAATATCCCAAGAATTTATAAATCCTTCTCAAATTTCAGAAATTATTTTCTTACATTATTATTATTATTTTTTTAAATTCTGTTTCTCTCCACATCTCTTCTCCTGTGTGTTACTTTTGTCCCATTCCATAAGGCAGCTGGATTACGTGGAAGTTTGTGTTGCCCTGTGTGTGTTTGTGCATTGATGACTAGATACGTTCAGTTCATAGATGGATAGATAACGCGTAACAAGAGCAAAGGTCGAGTAGTTTATGAATGTCTAAGCCCGAGATGGTATTATCTTCTCCTAGTACACTATTCACTGTTTATTATTATTATTATTTTAGTTTATCTATTTGCAGTTTTGTTTTTGTTTTTGTTCCCTCTATATTTTATTTTACATATAAAGGAACCCTTTCAAGTATGCTGTAATGGTTTTGGTGCCAGGTGTGCCCTGTGTCCTGTCTCCCAACTCCCTATTTAAATAGTAAATGCTAGCAGATTGACTTCTAATGTAGGGTGAGTTGGTCACTGCCTTTATTGAAAGCCAGAAGCTTCTGATAGCTCTCCTGAAGAAAACCTTGCTTTGCAAAGCCAGTTCATTGCCTCTAAGCTTAAACAACATGATCTGTCACTGACTGCAAAAAGCTTTTTTTGCTATCAAGGGTTGTGACTGCCCCCAGATCTGTTTATGTAGAAAGGTAGTACAGATTGCGATTTTAACCCTTGTTCAAGAGTAGAGAATTCCCTCTCTTAAAGAAGTGTTCTACATTAAAGAAATGCAAAAACATTGACTCCAGATGTTCAGTCCTACAAATAATTAGCCAAGTAGAGATTGTAGAAATGCTTTAGACTTGAGAAAGGGAGGTTCTACCGAAAGCTTGTCATTAAAAAATTCTGTTCGTCCAATAAAAAAATAGGTATTACAAGATGCAAATTTCATCTGTTAAGAGTTAGCCATAAATTTGGAGGAGTTGTAGCATTTTAAAGGTTGACAAGGGAGGAGATGGGCAGTTGATAAAATAATTATTGAGATTCAGTTAAAAAAAACCCACAAAGATTCTCTGGTACCATAAAGATTGCTTGCTATATTTCAATTGCAGATTGTTAGAAGCTAGAGCTCAGGTTTACTGCAACCGCTCACATTCAAGCAAACATTGTTTTATTTATTTAAAAATATTTCTCCCAAGGACGCACTGAGCCAGAACACACTGTCCCAAGGATTTTGTTTTACGGGAAGTTGGTGTTCTTTCTAGATAACAGTACATTTACTAATTTGGAAATTTTTACAAAGCTCTGATATGCCTAAATTTCTTTTCTTCATTTTGACTACTAAGCAAAGACGTTCAGTATACTTGTATAAATTGCCATTTGTATAGCGCCAACAGATTCCGTAGCGCTTTACAATATTATAAGAGAGGGAGGATTTAACTATAAATAGGACAATTACAAGAACACTTACAGGAACGATAGGTTGAAGAGGACCCTGCTCAAATGAGCTTACAGTATATAGGAGGTGGGGTATAAAACACATTCGGACAGGAAATAGCAATCAAATAATGTGGGAGTGAAGCAGAGCTGGAGGAGAGAGTAAAGTGCTGCCCTTTAGGAGAGAGCAAGAGACAGGTATGTGAGGTAAAGGTTACTCTGGGAGGCCATAAGCTTTCCTAAAGAGATGGGTTTTAATGCACTTCTTAAAAGATGCAAGACTAGGGGAGAGTCTGATAGTGGTAGGCAGGCTATTTCATAGGAAGGGAGCCGCCCCTCGGGAAGCCCTACAAGTGTGAGTTGGCCGTACGGGTGCGAGCAACTGACAGGAGAAGGTCATGGGCAGAGCGGAGTGATCGAGAAGAGACATACCTATGGATCTGTAAAGAAATATGAGGGGCTAGAATTGTTCAGTGCTTTATAGGTATGGGTAAGCATGTTGAATTGACTTCTATAGGATATAGGAAGCCAATGTAAGGACTGACAGAGGGGTGAGGTGTGAGAGGACCGACTAGAGAGAAAAATCTGTCTGGCGGGAGCATTCATTACAGACTGTAGCAGGCAATACGACTTTTGGGAAGACCAGTTAGTAGAGGGTTACAATAATCCATGCGGGAATACTGAAGCTTGGACAAGCTTCTTGGTAGCATCTTTGGTAAGAAAGGTGCAGATGCAGAAGGGAGAGCGAAAGAGGAGGATCAGTTTTAGGAGGAGGAAAGACTAGGAGCTCAGTTTTAGAGAGATTGAGTTTCAGAAAGCGTGAGCACATCCAGTCAGAGATGGAAGCAAGGCAAGCAGTGACATGTTGCAGGACGGCAGGGGAGAGGTCGGGGGAGGAGAGAGATATCTGGGTGTCATCAGTGTACAGGTGGTACATCCAAAAAGAGGTAATAAGTTTGCCAAGAGAGGCAGTGTAAATAGAAAAGAGTAGGGGACCAAGGACACAGCCTTGGGGGACCACAACCAAGACAGGATGAGGGGAGGGAGGTATCATTAGAAAAGGAGACACTAAATGAGCATTAGGAGCGATAAGAGGAAAACCACAAAATAAGTCACAGAGACTGAGTGAAGAGTTCGAAGAAGGAGAGCATGATCAACGGTGTCAAAGGCAGCAGAGAGGTCAAGAAGAATTAGTATGGAGTAGTGGCCTTTGGATTTAGCTGCGATTAGGTAGTTAGTAACTTTGATAAATGCAGTCTCAGTAGAGTGGAGAGGGCAGAAGCCAGAGTGAAGAGGGTCAAGGAGAGAGTTGGAATTGAGGAAGTGAGACATATGGGTAAGAACAAGTCTTTCCAGAAGCTTTGAGGAAAAAGGGAGCAGGGATATGGGACAATAGTTAGAGGGGGAGGACGGGTCAAGAGATGTTTTTTTTTTTTTTCCCAGGACATGTACTACAGTGGTATGTTTATCCGAGTGTTCTACTTAGAAGTATTTTTAAGCATATTAATGTTTTATTTTGTGTGTTTTGTTTTTCCAGTCTGTTGTGTATCTGCATTGGTAGATGCTTGCAGCAAGATGACTTATTTGATTGCTATGAATGTCTAAGCCCCAGCCTTTTGGCCAGTCTCCTTGCTAAACATTCCGGTACGTATACTATCTTGGTGGTATGTATTAGAATGCCATGCAGGAATTGTACTTTTATTTTTAACTCTGTAGCGTGGAAACAAGCAGAATAATTCTGCTTCTAGAACATTGCCCCAGAATTACTCTTTATCCTCAACACCAAAAAAAATGTTTTTACTTTATTGTCCGTTTAGGCCATTAATTCCATCACTATTGATAGCTACAATTTCCAATCTTGCCATAAGCAATATGTACATTATTTTCATCAAATGGCTGTACATTTATAGAATTTATGTATTTTAAGCTTATTCTTAAACCTGTCAAAGATCACCAACCCCAGTATTTTAGGGGATTTTCGGTTCTGTTAGAATAATGTATTGGTAGGGAAAACACAAGCTCATTGGTGAGTGGCGGTTTGAGAACTAATCAGAGAAGATTATTCAGAATACCTGATTCTCTCAACTGTTACAGCTGGTGTTCGTATTTATGGTTTTATGTCTGCATTTACAAGCTTGGCAACCTGTTAATTTGTAAATTACATTATAAACTTCCAATCTTTTTTTGATAGGGTTTTTCTTTTCTTACAGTGCAATGTTTGGCCTTGAAGATGACTGACGGCGCCTGACCGAATATGTCAGCCACGACTGTCGATGGCTCTGATGTTTCGCTTGGTAAGTACTTGAAAATTCAACCACAAATCCTAATTATTTGTTTATTGCTGTTGCAGTGTGAAAATATAAATCATTCGCTATAGTGCTATAGCTTGACTGTGATTTGTTGGTTTTAAACCTTCCTGTCCTTTAGTTCGAAGAAACTGTGATTGCACTGTGTTGCAATATCTTTTTTTTTTTTTGATTTGACAATTTTTATTTTGCATTAAAGAGGCATGGGGGAGGGGGGGGTACAAAAGGCAAAAAGGGGGGGGGGAAGTCATGCAGTTCGTCTTGAGAGTATCATGGATACAGTGGGGTGGCATGGGGTGCAGTGCATACACAAGACATTTCAGTGTCGAGTAGTTTATTACACAAGTTAGTTGACCTGTTGTGCCCAAGATTTGTATGGTTTCATAGTGATTATACATCAGCGTAACTTCAGGGTCACATGCCACCACTTCCTGGTCCAAGTGACCTTGTCTCATATTCAAATTCTTGTCGCTCAGTGGTGGTTCCGTAAGGTGCGGGTTGGTGGGGGCAGGTTGGGTCGGGGGGGGGGGGAAAGGGGAGGGGGTAGGGTGTGTGCGTGTGGGGCGTGTTGTGTTGGTGTGTGATTGGTGGGGGTATGTGGTGTGCATACTGATGTGTGTCTCAGTGGGTATGTGTGTGGGCCAGCCAGTCAGGGTGTGGAGGTTACGTGTTCCTCCAGTCGGGGAGGTGCGTTGTCTTGGTCGCATGGTTGTGGATGTCTTGTGGGTCAGCTTGGTTTGGTTTTGTCCCATAGGACCCATGCTTTGGTCCAGAAGGGTTCGCTCCGTCTGGATTTCCGTGCTGCATTTTCATAAGCCTTGTTTGTTTCCACCGCCTCAATGCATTGGTGGATCGTTGGGGCGATTGTTTGTTTCCACTTCCTGCTTATGACAGTGAGGGCTGCTATACAGATGTGGTATAGCAGATATTTGGTGTGGATTTGGGGTGTTTGGGGGAGCAGAAGCAATAGGAATAGCTCCGGTGTCTGGGGAATGTGTGTCTGGGTGCATCGTTTCGTTAAATCTAGGACTTGTGTCCAGTACTGTTGTAGGAGTGGGCATTGCCACCATATGTGTAGGAAGGTTCCTCGGTCTCTTTGGCAGCGCCAGCATGTGTCGGATGCTGTGGGGTAGCAATGTTTTAGTTTCGTGGGGACTAGATACCAACGGTAGAGAAGTTTGCGTGAGAGTTCCATGTGTGACATGCAGAGGGTCATTTTTTTGTTCGCTTGGAAGATATCCAGCCATTTCTCATCTGTAAGTTTGTATCCTAGATCTCGTTCCCATTTTTCTTGGAATGGTGTGGGCTTTGCTTGAGTGTCTATATGTTCTGAGGTATAGATCAATGAGATTAGTTTTGTTGCCGGTTTTGTCTTTGTGCATATTTCTGTTATTTTAAGCCAGTGTGGATCCGGTGGGTTCTTGTGTCTTCTTGGTTTGTGGAGGTTTGTCCAAGATTGTAGTTGATTGTAGGAGAAGTTTGCGATCATGGGCATTTTGAACTCTCGGCAGATGTCAGGGAATGGTTTGAGGCTGTCGCCCTGTAGTACTTGCGACAGTGTGAGAACACCGTGTCGGAGCCAGAGTTTGTGGTTGAAGTTTGGGATGTGTTGTCGTACTGCTTCTATGGGGGTTGCTGGTGCTAGAGGCGATATGTTCTCTCTTCCTGCGGTAGTTGTCCCATATTGAAAGGGTCGTGGCCGTTGTTGGAAGCATTGCTAACTTACAGGGCCGTCGGTTTGCCGGTAGCCAGGCTAGTGTGGGAAGTGTGAGCCCTTCGGTTTTAGATGCTTCCAGTTCGACCCAAGGCAAGGGGTTTGTATGGTTTGAAGCCGCGAGGAGTGGAGCTATCTGTGCTGCTCTGTAGTATTTTTTAATGTCTGGTAGTCCCATTCCTCCCTTGGCGTGTGGTTTGAACATCGTGCTGAGGGACACCCTAGGTTTTTTGTAGTCCCATACAAAGTCATTCAGGATGCGTTGTAGATCTTCCAAGTACTTGTTCGAGATCTTGAGCGGGAGTGTGCGGAACAGGTATTGAATCTTCGGTAATATCACCATTTTAATAGAGGCTATCCGGCCGGGCCAAGATATATATATGCCTTTCCAGCTTAGTAGTAGGTTCTTGATTTCTGTGGTTAGTTTTGCATAGTTTGCTTTATACAACGAGGTTGTGGAGGGGGTGAGTAGGATCCCTAGAAATTTGAGGTGGTCTTGTCTCCAGTCGTAAGAGAAACTGGCTTTGAGGGTGGTCATTTCCTGAGTTGTGACATTGATGCCCATAGCTAGGGTTTTTGAGATATTCAGTTTATAGTAGGAGCAGGTGCTGAATTTGGAAAGGATTTTGTGGAAGTTGGGTAGGGAGATATGCGGTTGTTCTAGGGTGAGGAGTATGTCGTCCGCAAATAATGACAGTTTGTATTCCCTACTTCCAATTTTAATACCGTGTATACTCGGATTGTCTCTTATCGTTTGTGCGAGGGGTTCTAGTGATGAAATGTAAAGCAACGGGGAGAGGGGGCAGCCTTGTCTAGAGCCGTTGGATATATTAAAGGGTTTGGAGATAAAGCCACCGTTAACCACTCTGGCAGTTGGTGAGGAGTAGAGTGCGGTGATGATCGACAGGAATTGTGGGGGAAATTCAAATTTTTTAAGTACTGCAATGAGAAAGGGCCAGTGGAGCCTGTCAAAGGCTTTCTCAGCATCTAGCGAGAGTAGGACGCTTGGGGTTTTATTTCGTTGTATCTCGTAAAGAAGATCTAGGGTTTTCCTTGTGCCATCTGCCCCCTGTCTGCCTCCTACGAATCCTACCTGATCCGACTGGATCAGGGAGGGAATAATGTGTGATAGTCTGTTAGAGAAGATCTTTGCTATGATTTTGATGTCAGTGTTTAGTAGTGATATGGGACGGAGGTTCTGGCATCTGTTAGGGGTTTTCCCTGGTTTGGGTAGGGTGGCAACGTGGGCCATCAGCATCTCGCATGGCAGTTTGCCTGTTTGTATGGCATGGTTGTATATTTTCAATAGATATGGTGTTAGGATTGGTGCAAATTGTTTGTAATAGGTATTGGACAAGCCATCCGGGCCTGGTGATTTCCCCGATGGTAAGGAGGATATGGTGTCTAGAATTTCTTGTGTGGTGATCTGTGTTTGTACATCGTGTTTTTGTGCGGTAGATAGGGTAGGGAGCTGAATATCCGCTAGAAAGTCAGTTATTTCCGTTGGTGTTGGTTGGTGTAATGTCGGATCTGTGTGTAGATTATAAAGGGAATGGTAAAAATCAGCCATACTGTCATTGATGTCTTGTGGGTTGTGTATTTTGTTGCCCGAGGTGGTGACTAAGTGTGGGATTTTAGTTTGTGTTTGCTGCTTTTTGAGCAGTGTGGCAAGATGTTTCCCTGCTCTGTTGCCTTGAGTATATGTTCTCAACTTAAGTTTGGTAAGGGCATGGGCTGTTTTTGCCAGAGCAAGTGAGTTGACTTGATTTGTGATGTCTTTTATTTCCTTCGAGAGGACCTGTGAGGGATGAAGTAGGTGAGCTGTAGTAGTATCTCTCAGTTTACGTAGGAGATCTAAGTATTCTTTGTCTCGCTTCCGCTTCAGGTATGTCGCGCGGCTGATTAGAAGGCCTCTCATAACTGTTTTATGGGCTTGCCATATTGAGAGGATGGAGGCTTCCGAGTTATCATTCGTCTTGAAGTAGTCTTGTAGGTTATTGTTCAATGTCGTTGCGAAGGATTTATCGTAGAGTAATGAATCATTGAGGCGCCAAGGTGGTTTGCCTCGGTGTTGGTATATGGAGTGTAGTGTCATCAATAAAGGGGCATGGTCTGACCATACAATGTTGCCTATAGAGCATGCCTCTACTTGCGGGAGTAGCACTCCGGATATGAGGATATGGTCTATTCTCGAGTAAGTTTTGTGTGTGTTCGAAAAAAACATATATTCTCTTTCTGAGGGGTGTCTAGTTCTCCATATGTCATATAGGCTGTTTTCATGTATGAGTTTTGTAAACGCCTTGGCGGATGGTTTGAGCGTGAGGTGTCTGGGTGTTGTACTTGGCATGGTGGAGTCCAGACGTGTGTCCATTATGTGGTTGAAATCGCCACAGATGATCCTTGGGTCTGTTGCATCTTCAGGGAGTTTGTTTAGGACCTTGTGTAGGAAATTTCGTTGTTGGTCATTTGGGCTGTAGAGGCACACGAGAACGTATGGTTGTTCATTGATCCTACATTGTAGGATTATATAGCGCCCTTGGCTGTCTATCTTGACTCTGAGCGTTTCCACCGTCAGTGAGTTATGGAACAGGATGGATACTCCCCTGGATTTGGAGGAGTGTGTGGCGTGGAATTGCGTGGGGTAGTCTCTGCTGGCAAATTTAGGGACTTTGCCTGATACAAAGTGTGTCTCTTGTACGCAGATTATGTCGGCTTTCAGTTGTTTTACATCGTCTAGTAGCATGCGTCTTTTGTGTGGCGTGTTGAGGCCTTTGGTGTTGTGCGAGTAGATGATCATGTTTGTTGTTGTGTGGTGTGGTGGGGAGGCGGGGGGGTAGGTGATCTCTCAGGTGTACGTTTTCAAGGCCGGTTCGTTTGCGAGTGGTTTACACTGGTGTGCAGGGTTGGGTTGGGTTTGTTGGGGTGGTTGGGGTGGGTCTCGTGGTGGTATGGGAATTTTATACAAAGACCTAGCGGTCTGGTACTCTAGGCGTACCGTGGGGTTTAGGAGCGGGAGCTTCCAATGAAACGTGGCTAATTGGGCTCCTCTTCAAATACAGATGGTTAAGCTGAAACCTCAAAGTCGAGGTCAATGAACATTTAAACATGAATACATAACTATAACAGCATGTAATTTGAAGCATCATTTACATAACAAATAACATTTAATGCCGAAGGGCAAGCAAGTACTTTTCACTTTCCTCACAAGTGGGTTTTATGTCACCTGTCGTCACTGAGTATAGATGAGGTGTCTCATGCCCCCGGGACCCAGTGCGCCTATTTCGTGGGCAGTTGTTTCGCGTGGTGTGTTCAGTGTGTAGTCATGAGGCCTGGTGTAGGTACCAGTGGGGCAGATGGTTGTCGTCCAGGGTGGTCAGCCCCTTTTTTTTTTTTTTTTTTGTTTTAAGTTTTTTACGTTCGTGATAAGTACCACTTCCGTCCCTTGGGTTAAGGTTTTCAGGGCCCTTAGGTACTGTCAGCATGTGTGTTTGGGCAGTTAGTGACTACCTCATAGGCTTCACCCGTGTCAGGCGCGTCTGTCCCCTCGTCTGCAGGCAGTGCGCAGGGTGTTGTGCCTAGCAAGGTTACGGCAGTCGGGGTCTATGTCCGGAGCTGTCCGCCTCCCTTTGTCCCACGTGACCTCCCCCCATGTGGGTGTCGAAAGGATCCCTAGAGGGTCTGTTGTAGCGCATGCGTATCTGGGTAGTCAGACCCCCCGTTTTCAGAAGGTGTTGGCTAGCCTTGGGTATATTTAAATGGTACCTAAGAGGCTAATAAAACACTGGGGGAGATTCTCACACTCCTAGGTTTTAAGCAACTTGTCGCTCTAAGTTAATGTGTTGGGTTACTGTATGCGCTATGCATGCAGTGTAACATCTCTCGGGGGTGGTGGGGAGTTCAGTATTATATACAGTTAGAAGCACAGTGCATAAAAGACATGTGTAAATTAAACCGCAATGAAAGTTAGAGGAATATACAGTTCATGATACTTGCGCAGACTTGCTTGCCGCTTCGAGGGTAACTTAACAGTCCATGTGCTTTGGCCGGCCCGGTGTGCGGTTTTTGGGCCGTTGGGTTTCAGACGGGTTCTCCAATAAATTCCACTTTTCGAGCAGAGTTAAACCGTCCTCCGGGGTCGGGATAATGGTCGTTTTCCCGTTCTTATTGATGATCAGTTTTGTGGGGAACCCCCAGCGGTAGCGTATGCCGTTGGTGCGTAGTGCCGTGGTGGTCCGGAGAAAATCCTTCCTTCGGCGCAGGGTGGCTGATGATATGTCCGGCATGATGCGTACGGATGGAAAGTCTTCGTGTGGGTCCGCCTTGCTTCTGTGGGCACAGAGGACCAGCTCTTTGATGTGAAAATAATGGGCCCTGAGGAGTACATCTCGTGGTATTGAATCCGGCAGGTTCTTCGGTTTCGCCACCCTGTGGATCCGGTCCACTAACAGCATGTCTGCCGGTATGTCGGGGGCATATGCTCTCATAAGGCCCCTTGCGTAGGCCTGTAGATCTTCAGGGAGGACAGACTCGGGAACACCGCGGAGCCGCAGGTTGTTCCTGCGTGCCCTGTCTTCGTGGTCTGCCATGCGGTCCTCCATGAGTGCCACCTTCCGTTGGAGGTCTTGGAGGTGTTCCGAGGTCAGCGTTTGTGCGGCCTCTAGTTCTGTGTGGCGTTTTTCCACCGCCGAGGTCCGGGCCGAGAGGTCTCTCACCTCTCTTTTAATTTGATCGGCCGTCTGCTGCCAGGTCTGGATGAGTTTATCCGCCATTTGTTCCATTGCATGCTCAAAGTGGCTTCTAGTTAGATTTTCCGCAATGTGGAGGTCTGTCAATGTCCCAGAGGGGGTGATCGAGGCGGCTTCGTCTCGTTCCTCGTGTCCGGCTGCCTGTAGCGGGTCCGCCGTGAGGGAGGGTTTGTGACCGAAAAAATTAATTTTTTCTGCCTTCGAGGTATTTTTCTTTGTTTTAGATGCTGCCATTATGTTTTGGGGGAGGTAAGTAGGGTTTCAGCTCGGGTGCAGTTATAATTTGTGGAGCCCTCGTGCCGGAGCAAATTTTCAGGCGTCCATCTTGCTCGGCGGTTAGCCACGCCCCCCGTGTTGCAATATCTTGAAGATTCTTATTCATTTTGTTGGGCCTTTATTTGAAAATCCTTGACCCTTTTTATCAATGTGCACCTGTACTGCACAGTCATAAAATGTTTTTCAAATGCTCACATTGACGGTGTTGGAATTTCACTGAAACTCCAATGCAATCAGAAGATATCACAAGACTAAATAGGGACTCCCTGGTCACTTTGTGCCATTGCACAGCAAGTGGAGATGTCTCCTTTGAGGGAATTTGCAAAATATGCAAGCACCCAGGAAGATGACTGAGCCACGTGAACAAAATTGGGTATATTGTATTTTTAAAATTTAATTTATTTATAATTACTGTTATGAATAAGATATACATAGTTATGTGCTCCCTTAACTTAAACAAATAGATATTCGTGAAGTATGAAAAATAAAATTAAATGAGGAAATCCCCACCCTTACTTCCATCCTTATTCTGCAACAGGGTGCCCTTCCCTCTTAACTCTGTCAATCATTGTTATAAGATCTCTTTTGCACCTGGCAGTCAACATAGAGAAAGCATACAGACTATAGGAGAAATTAAGTCATGGTTTTTATTTATCCTTCTCATCTGCATTGTGTTCCCTGCCTTTGCCTTCTTAGAATTGGATTATGATATAATTTGATAAACCTTTTTAATATAAATTTAAAATAACATGTAGCCTCTCACAAGGAAAAGAAAGGTTAACATAAGTTATAGGCAATTTCCAATGTTTCACTGAATAGTTTACAGGTGCCTGTACTGCTGATGATCAAAATCCACCTCTCCAAAACAAAAGAATTAAGGAAGAGTTAACTGGAGGAGGGGATTGGGGACCTGGCAGTTTGCACGTGGGTGACATAGCAAACTGGGACATTGGAGACACAGGGGAGCCCCATTTATTAAATCCAGGGGTCAAATGGCTTTTTACCCACAAGTTTGAGAAGTACTGTTTTAGAGCTTTTTTTTTATAGTTTGCTAAATTTAAAGGAACACTATAGTCACCTAAATTACTTTAGCTAAATAAAGCAGTTTTAGTGTATAGATCATTCCCCTGCAATTTCACTGCTCAATTCACTGTCATTTAGGAGTTAAATCACTTTGTTTCTGTTAATGAACCCCTAGCCACACCTCCCCTGGCTATGATTGACAGAGCCTGCATGAAAACAAAACTGGTTTCACTTTTAAACAGATGTAATTTACCTTAAATAATTGTATCTCAATCTCTAAATTGAACTTTAATCACATACAGGAGGCTCTTGCAGGGTCTAGCAAGCTATTAACATAGCAGGGGATAAGAAAATCCTAATTAAACATAACTTTTCAGAGAAACTGCTATGTTTATAAATTGGTTAATCCCGCCTCTAAAGCCTCTAGTGGCTGTCTCATTGACAGCCGCTAGAGGCATTTGCGTGCTTCTCACTGTGAAAATCACAGTGAGAAGACGCCAGCGTCCATAGGAAAGCATTGTAAATGCTTTCCTATGAGACTGGCTGAATGCGTGCGCAGCTCCTGCCACGCATGCGCATTCAGCCGAGGAGGCGGAGAGGAGGAGGAGAGTTCTCCGCCCGGCGCTGGAGAAAGGTAAGATTTTAACCCCTTCCTCTCCCCAGAGCCCGGGGGCACCCTCAGGGCAGTATAGTGCCAGGAAAACGAGTATGTTTTCCTGGCACTATAGTGGTCCTTTAACAGAGAAGGAAATCACATTTTCTAAAGTAATCACACTATGCTATAAGATCTGATTGAATGTGAAACCATTATTTTTTTCATGTTGGCTATGTGTGTCACAGCAAGTAAGAAGTGTGACTAGACCATTATAAACAAAAGTGATTTAACTTCTAAATAGCAGAGAATTGTGTAGTGAGACTTCAGGGGCATAATCTGTACATTAAAACTGCTTCACTAAGCTAACGTTGTTTTGGTGCTTAAACATCTCTCTTTAAAGTGGAACTGTCATTTGTGTGCGTGTTGTGTATATTTAAAAAATAAATAAATTGTTTTCCTCTTTCCGCGCAACTTTAAATTAAATGTTAGTTAATGTTTTTTTGGTTTTTGGATTTTTTTTTTTACATCTATTTATTTATGTTAAGGCTGCATGGTATGCCTATTATCATAACCCCAGAGACACGTTGTGGGACACAAAAAGAGTTCAAACCCCACACATGAGCACATCTAGGGCATCATTATATGATCTATATGGTTAGCTACGGAATGGATATCATGGCTAAATGTGTAATATGGCGATAAAATATAGATGGAAATGCAATATGGTGATAAATGCAACAATAAAATATAGATAAATATGTAATGTGATGTGATAAAAACAACGATAACATCTAGATAAATATGTAATGTGGTGATGTTGCTGTTATTGCTTTCATTTAAGCTAATTTTTAGTAGATGTCTTCCTAGCTTCTCCTGTGGCAACCTTGGATCTGAGCCATTTGGCTCCTGTTCCTTTAAAAAAGGTTTATTTTGGTTAAAACATATCAAGTGGCCACGTGATACAATGTAACATTTAGTAGGATCTGTCACATCCTTTTAAATATCCGTACATATGATACTTTGTCTCTAAAATAAATACATGCATTTTATATATTTTGGCGCTCCCTATATTATTTACTTTATCCAAGAAGTTGCCTATATTTAGTGGGATAACACACTATTTAGTTGTTTTATATTGCAAAGGAACCACTCAATTTTAAGTGTTGGGCATGGGTAGGGTTACTTGCGCTTTATTTTTTTATAATAATTCATGTCTTTGCTAATCGTAGAGATTAGTTGTATTTGTTCTATAGAAAACTTTCAAACCATTTAAATATATTGTGGCTTCTCTGTTGATTTGTTTCACCCTAACATTTTTCTTGTATTCCTGCTCACAGATGGGGAGTCCTTCCACTCGTCTGACACGATCCTTTTGGATCATGCTAACACCGCAAAGCTGCGTATAAAGGAGGAAAGGTCGGAGTCTCGAGGGAGCTCCTCATTACCCAATGAAAATGACCTATTGGGTACAGATGGAGAAGGCTCCTCCCACAGCGCTGGTAAGTATATGTTTTGAAGCAAAAACAAAGACTATGAGAACTCGAACGGACAAAAGCTTAAAGAAACTCAGAAGCTTGCCCTTTGGTAAATCCATGCTCCGGTTTCAAAATAATTTTTGCTCACTTGTGCAATTACAGAGAGAACCTATCTGAAGCACTTTAGACTGGTCCCACCCGTAAGAGCAGTCCAGAACCGAAATGCCAGCAAGTTTACATTTTAAACTCTGGTTGGCTGAAAACTAGTTTAAAATCGAACCATCAATACCTAGATTCTTGCAGAACCCAGTAGCAATAAGTTGGCTGTAAAATAAAACATTAATTCCCAAAAATCTCAGTAGTTTTCATTTTAGTTGCAATGCCAGGCATGAGATTTAATTTACATTAGCCTCGGATTGTCATTAACTTGATGTGAGGGAACAAGGAAATATTCCTTCCAGAGAAGAAACTGATCGCTTTCATCATTTTTACAGTACTTAAAAACAAGAAATAAAAGCTTAATAACTGTTTGACATTTGGTGAATAGCTAGTCTGTACATTTATAATAAAACAGCAGTGGTGCATATACATTGCGTTTTGAGTATACCTTAAGCAAGATAAAGAAAATGTGAATTTGTATAATTTTGCAATCATTCTGTTACAGACTTATTGGGAGGAGGACTAGTTTTCCTTATTGTGTGTCCCTCATCTTTGTGTTTGTGTTTTTTTTTTGTTTTTTTTTAACATAAATAAAATTTAGTTACCATGCTTGAGGGCATTTATAAGGAGCATATAGGTAGGGTATAATGGATTTGGTAGTGGTTAAAGATGATCAGGTCTCATTAATATTTTGGTGTATTCATGCGATTTCAATAATGTGAGGAAATGTATTAGCAATGCTTACCTCATTCTGTTGGGTTAATAGTGGCACTTAATTGAGGTCAAAGGCATTGTGTCTAGATTAGGAACCGCATGATCTGTGTATATCTAAATACTTGTATATTTTAACAGCTGAGGAACCAGAGCGGAAGAGGAAGAAGGGTCCGGCGCCAAAGATGCTGGGAAATGAGGTTTGCAGTGTCTGCGGGGACAAAGCTTCTGGATTCCACTACAATGTACTCAGCTGCGAAGGCTGTAAAGGTTTCTTCCGGCGGAGTGTCATAAAAAATGCAAAGTACACATGCAAGAATAATGGCAAGTGCCAGATGGACATGTACATGCGTCGCAAGTGCCAGGAGTGCAGACTTCGGAAATGCAGACAAGCAGGCATGCGGGAACAGTGTGAGTGAGCAAACATTCCTGGTACAATGGTACTTGGGATAGTTTATAGGAAAAGGCACTTGAAAGAGATTGAGAGAATTCCCGGAGGTGGATTGATTCAAACCTTTTTTTCAAGTCATTTGTTGGTTATTTAATCAGATGTATATAGATGGACTTATGTTCCAGGTAGAGCCAGATCAACTTAAAAGGCTTTCTGGGAGAAAGGTTAACAGGTTTATCCCATTTTCAGAGCTATACACAAGATATGTTTAGCATGTGGTGTGTGCATGTGCCAGAGGCTCTCCTGGTGCTTAATGCAGGAGTGTGATATTGCCTGGTGAACCAGTAGGAAGCCACAAGTACATGTATGCAATGTCAGCCATTTTCCATTGAGCCTATTCAGCCTATTGAGTGTGCATCCCAGATTGCTTAAACCAGAAAAGGTAAGCATTTTTGAGGGGGCACAAGAATAATACTTGTTATACCAAAAAGGAAGATTTGGGGAAATCTCCCAAGAGAGGCCTAGGAATCAAGTAGAATAGACTGGAAAAAAAATAGAAATGAGAAAACGGTCACTTCCTCCTGAAGACCTTTTCTAACGTCTTACAATGTTGCTGTACATGGCAATTACGTCTCATAGACAACTACTGCGTCTAGGTCCCCAGCGTTGGATTACAGGCAACTTTTATGTCATTTTTTAACTTTTGCTTTACTTTTTTATTTTTTTATTTTAAGAACAAAGAGAAATCCTGCATCTCAACAAACAAAAAAACAGCCTAAATTTTAGTGTTAAAAATCAATATATTTATTCATTTTTAATGTCTGTGTTCCTGAGGGCTTTTTGTGGCACAGAAACCCCATGGTGCTTTGCAAGATACCGCTGCATTATGGGAATTCTATACCAATATCTGAGAGCGACATTTAGGATATTGATGACCTAGCGTTGTTGCATGGTTTTAGGATATCACCATTTTTGGGTTTGTACATTGTAGAGGGAACATTTGTGGGATTTTAGCAGTCTCATCCTTTGGAGTGCCCGAGGTTATATTTAACATGTTCCGCCTTTGTTGTCAGCCAGAAGCAATAACAAAGGAAGTTTGTGGCTGTGTTGTTCATTACATCAATCCTTTCCTTTACAAAAAACTCAAAAAATGTATGACCCATTAATTACTATGTATAATATCTAGTTGCTAATACTCTGATCAAGATTGCTTGTTGCAAACTAGTCATGGAATGTAGCAAAAGGCTACAGGAGGAGGACCCTACCTTGCACATTAATGGCTGTTTTTTGAGCCTCTCAACAAGCTTACATTTTGAGCTGCTCCATATTTTATCAATTCACTTTGTGTTCCGTAAAACAAACCACATATCAATAATACTTTGTAACAGTTTTCTCATAATGAAAGTGGTTTAACATACAATGTGCAAAGTAGCCACAAAGTCACATGACAGAAGCTTGTGGATTTGAGAAGCCTCTGATTGGCCCGCAACCCAAGTGTTGTCAGGAGGGGGTCGTGGAAGAGCAGCTCGGGAAGCTTTGCCTGGCGCTGGATTTCAGGTAAGTAAAATATTTTATTACAGGTTTAACAGCACTTTGAAAGGGGGCAGACTTCTCCACAATGCACAATAGGGAATATTACACCAGAAAGGCACACTACTACTTAATTCCATTCCCAGCCTCCCACACCCCCCTTTGTTTTTCAACAATTTTCATTGTGCTGTCAGTGTGATCCTGACTTAAATGTGTCCTCTTACAGTATGTGTGCTGCTTTATTGTATAGGTGTGCTTTCGGAAGAACAGATCCGTAGTAAAAAGATAAGAAAGCAGCAACAGGACGATGATGTTGTGCGCTCCACGGCAGTATTTGTTCCCCCAAGCCCTTGTATGCTGTCCCAAGATATTGTCCAGCTCACTCCACAGCAAGAAGAGATGATCCAGCAACTGGTATCAGCACAGCAGCAATGCAACAAGAGATCGTTCAGTGATCAGCCCAAAGTAACGGTACAAAGTAACGGAAATTATATGTCTACACCAAGTGTGCCGATATGTTTGCACTATTCCATAACCTCACATTCTCATCTATTTGTGAGTTTGTTGGACATAGACTTAGTTAAAGGGACACTATAGGCACCCAGACCAATTAATCTCATTAAAGTGGTCTGGAGCAATGTCCCTTAATGATTAACACTACAGTGTTAATCATTGCACTACTGATTGCCTCTTATGGTGGTCGCAGTGCATGCGCGTTAGTTCCCCAGCCCAGTAAGAGGATGCGGAGATCGGCACTGCAATCAGGTAAGTACAGTAAGTTTTTTTTTTTATTTTATTTTTTTATTTTTTATTTATTTATTTATTTTTTGTTTATTTATTTATTTATTTTTTTAATTAAACCCTTATGGGGGGGGGAGGGGAAGGATCTGTAGTGCTAAGAATACGACTTTGTATTCCTAGCACTGTCGTATCCCTTTAATATTCTATTTGTTTTGGAGTAAATTAGATTTATTTTTTTTGTTTGTTTGTTTTAAGGTGGACTGAGAAATTGTATATGTGAAAATATACTCCAAGAGACATAACCACTACAGCATGCTGTGGTGCTGCTAGTCTCTTGAGGTACAGTCCGAGCATACAATGTAAATGTATTAACTGTCATGGTGCTCATGGGTGATATCACAGCAAGTCCTTCTTCACCTCTTGTCTATATTTTTTCTATTTTTTGTCAAAAATTTTATTCAGGGAAATCTCCCAAGAGAGCCCTAGGAATCAAGTAGAATAGACTGAAAAAAAAGAAATGAGAACCCGGTCACTTCCTCCTGAAGACCTTTTCTAACGTCTCACAATGTTGCTGTACATGGA